CTCGAGAATGCTGAAAAGCAAAACGAAAAGGTAGACTTTGATTTGGATTGTTTCATTTCTTACTGAAATTTTCTCTTCTATATTAAGAATAAAAAATAAAGTAAATAAAAGAGTTTTTTTGTGATTAAAAATGTACAGAGGTTGTAAATTTTAGAATCAAAGAAGCACATATAATAAACTAGCCATATTAATTGTACAAAATCCGATATTTACATCTTATATTTTGTGTTCACATTAAATTTCAATGTTTTAGAATTTTCCGTTGAAAGTTTTTATACTTTCAACATAAATTTGCCTGTCGGGAATTTTGAGAGAATATAACAACAATGGTTTGGTCACACTTTATTTCATTGTTGAAAACTATTAGGGTCGTTGTTTCTAAATTCTATTACTACTAAGAATGTATTGCTTGTGTCTAATTGTCATGTACACCTATATACTTTGAGAAGGATCTCAATGTTTCAAAAAAATGTTGTTAAAAACTTTGCAAATTAATAATTGAGCCGCGTCACGACAAAACCAACATAGTGGGTTTGCGACCAGCAAGGATCAAGACCAGCCTGCGCATCCGCGCAGTCTGATCATGATCCATGCTGTTCGCTATCAGTTTCCCTACTTGTAATAGGGTTGTAAGCGAACAGCATGGATCCGATCCTGATCAGACTGCGCGGAGGCGCAGTCTGGTCTGGATCTGTGCTGGTCGAAAACCCACTATGTTGGTTTTGTCGTGATGCGGCTCTTTTTTTGACTTGACTTTGCATTATTAAGGTAATACTCACGGGCCATGTGCCTCCTGGAATATCAGCTCCTCGTGGTGTACGTTGGATGTATGAAAGTTTTAATAAGAAAATGAACGGTATTGTTGTTCGTCATGCAGACGTGATTGTTGCCATGCATTTTGGACACGAACACCATGACAATTTTAGAATCTACTACGGTGCCACAGGTATGTTAAGAAAAAATAAATATATATATATCTTTATTGAACGATAAAAGACACATTATGTCTCAGAAACGAATTTATCTTTACTTCTTTAAAAAGGTCAAACATGGGTTTAATAATGTCTTAATGTTTAAAAATTAAAAACATGCTCTTAATATGAAATTATTTGTCATAAAATAGTAAGATGTATAATAAAAAAAACATATTCTTACAAAGCATTGAATCACTACATATGTACTTATTGCTAAAATGCAACAGAAACAGAAGATTGTTCAGTTGATTTGCTGATAAGTAAACGTTTCCTTTTTGAAACTATAACAAAAGAATAAAAATAAAAAGCAATAGAGAAATGAAAAATAAAAGCATTTCTGATGGATAGTGGGCCTTCAATTTTAATATTCTCTTTTCATTTTATGTCCTTCAATGTTCGGGAGAGTTTTTTAATCAATACAACATATTTAAAATCGCTTTTACCAGAAAATGTCCCAAACGTCGCTCTTCAGCTCATTAGTTTACACACGATAAATAAATAACTTACCGTTATTTCATTGCAATTCTTTTTACAGACCTGATTATGTACTGTCGCCTGCTTTATCTTAATTACTTGAACTTGTTATCCCATTTGTGAATGACTCTGCATGTCAATTACTTGTAAATATCGCCCGTCATAATCGCCCATGAGATTCATGTTAAGAAAATACTAAATCTTCTTAATTTTCAATTGTTTCATCAGGTCCAGCTAAAGTTTGTCTGTTTATTGCACCTTCTGTTACACCTTGGAGATTCCAAATTTTATCACTGAAGGAGACACCACATAATCCAGGAGTACGTTTGATTAAATATGACAGGCAAACGGGCAAACAATTAGACATATACCAGTACTACATGGACCTGAATGCGGCAAACACGATCGGATACGTGAACTGGACTTTGGGTTATCAGGCGACAGTTTTTTATAACATCCCCGATATAACTGCCCCTTCGATGGAAGCTCTTGCTACGAAAATGCGAAATGCTAACAGTCAGGAGTTTAGATCATATGTAAACTGGTACAATACAAACGGTGCTAAGGATTTTTCTTGTGACGCCAGGTGTCATAAAAGTGTCATGTGCGGCCTCGGAAATCTAGAGCTCAGTACGTACAGCGCATGCTTGAAATCACAAAATGTAAGTAACTTCTTTTCGGTCGTTCGCAAAATTATTAAACAAGTTATGCCATTCTCTCTAGAGACTGCAGTGAAAAATAACCTGTATGTGCTACTAATGGTCATGAATGACACTATCAAACTGTTATTCTTTGACAGCCTATGTACTAAGCTTATACCTTGATGTCATCATAACTTGTATGTGTTAGCAAAAATTGAGATGTACATACACTGTCTTTGGTTCTTCCGAGGTATTTACATTGTGTTAAAATAATGCATATACAATGTATAAATTTGAAACTTAATTTCTTTTCTCTCTCATTTTAAAAACATTGTAGGTAAAAAGTTGCCTTTGAGAGTTAAAAGGAATGTAACTTAGTTGTGTCAGCCTTTCAGGCCATTGATCCCTTGTTCGAACCCCATTTTTGTCACAATCAGGTTTTTCAATATGATACTTGACCTGGTTTGACTTAAGAGTTGTTCAAATATGTTATAAGCATAAACTCTCTACCATCGGGTCACATCGGGTTATCGTGTTTAAACAAATCTGAGTCGAGAATATATCAATATGTATGTATTTTAAAGTTTTTGAATGAATGAAATTGTCTTTTTATAGCATTACTTCTATTTCATAAGATACTCAATGATGTGTTTAATTATAAAGGTACATAGAATATCTTTAAAAAAAACATAGTAAAACACATCAATGTGCATACGTTCTCGAGTTTTATTTATATTTTAAGTACGCAATTCATCTCTTTGTTTTTACTATGTTGCAGGTGTTTAACTGCTCGCCAGGAAATTGTCCAATTGTAGGATAGGCAATGGTTAAACTTATGTGTAATCTTATCTGCAAAAGTATGCAATAAACATTACATGATCTGTATGATGAGTCTGTTTTTTTTTATATCAACGGAGTGGTCCATAAGATAACAAGCAATTATCATAGTATTGCAAGCAATCCATAAGTCCCCTACCGGTAAGAGCCCAAGCAACATTCTGAAGGGCCATTGGCCATTCACTTAGGTTCCTATTTTAAGTAAATTTGTTGAAAAAGTTCTTTAAAAGTGATCACAGGAAACAGTTTTTATGTACAGACAGACGGACTGAAGGACACTCTAAAGTTATTTTTTAAACATCCCTGTTATCAAAATATAACATTTTTAAAATCCTATCATGATTGAAGAAGTTGGAGTAAAAATTACCAATTTCTCAAAAAAAAGTCAAAGTTCAAAACGGGCATAATTCTGGAAATAGTCTTGCTAGAGTATTGAACACTCACAAATGTTGAGTGACAATAAGAAACATTTATATGAAGTTTGAAGTAGATACAGTCAGAAAAAGAAGTTATTAAAGAAAACAATGTTTTTTTCATGAAAATTTAAAGTTCAAGGGAGGTAATTCTGATAAATTTTGTGCTAGAGTTGTGAACCTTGTCACATATGATGTGGTTGATGACAAGCAACTTATATTTAAAGTTTGAAGAAAATACCTTAAGAAATAAAGAACTTATAGTGAAAAAACTTAAAAACTAGAATCAGAAATCTTGAAATTCAGTCTATTTGTTGCCATAGCAACCAGAATTTTCAACATAGGAAGATAAAAAAGGATGTGCATAATTTCCATACTCCCATCTACCCATATGTCAAGTTTCATAAACATATTTTCAGTACTTTTTGTGTTATCATTGGATCCAGGTTATGTGTAAAATTTGCCATATTTTCAGTCTATTTGTTGCCATAGCAACCAGAATTTTCAACATAGGAAGAAAAGAAAAAGACGTGCATAATCTCCATACTGCCATTTATCCATATATCAAGTTTCATAAAAATATTTTCAGTACTTTTTGCGATATCGCGGGATCCAGGTTATGTGTATAATTTGCCATATTTTCAGTTTATTTGTTGCCATAGCAACCAGAATTTTCAACATAGGAAGAAAAGAAAAAGACGTGCATAATCTCCATACTGCCATCTATCCATATATCAAATTTCATTAAAATATTTTCAGTACTTTTTGCGTTATCGCGGGATCCAGTTTTGTGGACGGACGGACTGACGGACGGACAGACGGACAGACGGACAGACGGACGGAGGGTAAACCTAAAGTCCCCTCCGGTAAACCGGTAGGGGACTAATAACAATACGAAATACGCAAACAAAATATTTAACGTTCAATGTATATAGTGTGCAATCAGAACATGTAAGATATATTATGTATGTTATCAGAATGTAACTTTAAGTGTCAATGTAGGTTGACAGCTTTATGTAGATAAAGAGAATATTTCCCATAAAGGAAGTATTTGCTTTATGTAAACACAATGAGTTCTTGGACTTGAAAATGTTGACATTTTGAATACATATGCTTTTTTAACAACCCACATTTTACACCTGATAAGGACCTTTACTTTATTGTTATAAACAAGTTTGATTGTTAATCTAATAATTTAAACATGAATGTCAAGAGAAAACAAGATTGTTATATATGTTTCAATGGAACATTTATGCATCCAATTTGTTTACTGTTACAGCGGCATGTATACATACTTGTGCATATTTGATCAAAGTCGTGTGTTATATTGATTTGATACATAATACATAAATAATAGAAGTATTATATATAAGAGATTTCAAAATACTATAATTGAGAAAAGTCTTCTTTTCAATTAAAAGACAAGTATTTGCTCAAGATCAGTAAAGATGATATGCTAGTCTTGATAAACCTACACACTTATTTTTTATATTTTGAGTCGTCATTCATCTGAACACTTTTCCGTGTCCAAGATCAAGGTGATATTGATCTATAAACTACAACGGCTTCAATTATTCAAGATCAGCATTCACTTAATATCTGCATGAGGACTGTATAACGAAGTGTTCTGTAGTCATTGGTCGGATAAAGTATTTGTAGTTTAAGCAATCACGATGGCCTTTACCTTTGATCTACTGACTTCAAAATCGATATTGGTCACATACTTGACCTGCATAATCGTATCTCTTAATCTTAGGATTTAAGCGTTCTCTATTTATTCGTCAGATAATATTTAGGTTATCAAGGCAACGTTGACGTTGTACTTTGTACAATACGTATTTTCAATATGAAGATATTGGGCATTATTATGCACAAGCTTTTCATTTTATTTTCATAATTTATACTATTGTTACATTTTAGTAACTTAAGTTTGATATGTTCAACCATAAAAGAAATCAACCATAATGCTTAAAACACAACAAAAACAATGAACAAGTAATACTCTTTATTGAGAAATTGTCTCGGAAAAAAAAGCTGCCGCATTTACAAAAAGGCAAGTAAAATAAACATGTCAGTAACATTTATCATTATTTCAACTTACTAAAGTTATACAAAATGAATAATATATAGAACACACATTTATATTCACAATTGTTTTTTTTAATTTGTTTTAGTTTAATTGTTTTTCTTTTGTACACATTCATTATTTATATAACAATGAAGTAATTAGGATTTTTATAATGTTTTCATATTTTATCTTTACAAAGTAGAAATAAAACTTAAAAGGGTCACATGAACATTCCATATTTGTAATTTAGCATAATAATTACATCAATAAAGGACGATACATAAATGTAAAATGTGGTTTTCCCGTGTTAGTGCTTTAGAGTTTAGTAAAACAAATGCATATCTAGGATTTAGACAGCACCTTCTTTTGAGGTAATAATAAATAAAATAATTGCCCATTGAATGAAAAGAAAAATGGATGCGAGACACAATACATTAAATGATATAATGATCTTTTATTTTTTGCTTTTTGATAATATATCTGTGGGATATAAGTCTTTCCACATTGTTTTGTAAAATTTACTACTTAAGCTCTTTACATACATGTACAATGAACTATGTAACATAGAAGAACACATAACAAAAGCTTTCGGCTGTAATGTCTGATCAGAATTATAATATGTTTGTTGGGTTGATTTTTGTAAATAATGGAATAACTTGCTTTCCTAAGAGAGTTCATAAATTTCATTTGATTTCATTATTTCAATCGTGCTTTGAAAATATTTGATATCCCAAGTTTCAATTGAATATATTTCAAATTATATTATTAAAAATATACCTTCAATGTGCCAGCGTTTGCTAGTAAGAAAAGAACAAGAGAAGTTTTCAAAATTACAAACATTAAATTTGATAGTGTTGCTGTTTACAATAAAAAAGTTACATATTCAAAACAAGAAAAAACAGTTTCCATAGCTGTAAAATAAATTCAATTCTATTTCAACTCTTATGTCATTTCATCATAACTTACCTTACATAATTGTAAATAAAGTGTGTAATACAAATATAATACACAGATACAATAGGTAACACGTAAAAGCTGAACTATTAAGAAAATAAACAGAATTCGAATGATGTTTTAAAGTCGCTAGATATGCCCCTTTGGCAAAAGGAATGTAAGCAAAGATCGGAAAAGTAGTGTTGCACATGAACATACTTGTTTTTTGTGTAGTTTATTGCTTCTTATTGTGCTTCGTCACAATGTCATCAAATTTGTTTATGTCAACAATTACATGAGTACTTTCTTCTAGAGCAGATCGTAATTCAACAAGATTTGCATCATTGCCTTTACATTTCTTCCACTCGAGGAGCATTTTATAAACGGCATCTTTAATACTTTTTGGATTTTCCATGTCAATGCGATCCAATGTTTCCCGTGGTACTCCTTGAGACACAAAAAACATGAAGTGACCCTTTCCAAACAAGTTTGAAATATCAGACAAAACTACATCGCTCGTTCCCTGTTTCAGTTGCCTTTCGATTTGTTTAATCTGAAATAAAGGTAAATTTCTTTTGTAAAATAAGCATGGTAATTCTTTTTTAATACCAATGTTCGTTTTTCATTCTTCTGATTCAGTTGTTGATATTTAAGAACAACTTACAAAGTCTAGGATATTTTGAAAACCCTCAAAAAACTAACACTTTCATCTTATCTTACTATAATTAAAAAACAAAAATTTTATTACAAAAAATATAAGTTACCTCTGATGCGAACCATGGAGTTAGATATCCTTTCAAATTTCTTACAATTTTCTGGTCTGGGTTCCCTACATTTACTTCTATCCACTCTCCTTCGTCTGTTGTCAAGACATTTCCCAAATTTTGGTTACTTTTTAATTTCACGTGTAGCTTTACAGAGTTTTCTTTTATTTTCATTCGCCGACTATATACTTTCAGTTCATTTTCAATACATTCTCTAAGATTCTGATATTCTTCACTTGAACAACTGTCTGTGCTTTCACCAGCTGTTAGTCCATATAAATATATAGCGGATGTCTTCTGATTTGATGACTCGAACTGAATGACAATTCCCTGAGATTCTTTCGAAAACACAATACTGTCCTTTTTACAGCTTTTTGGACCAGATGAGTGTACTGACCAATCTTTTTCTAAAATGATCTTAATAATGTTTGCCCTAAGATAAGCTGAAATCTTATCTATGCTGGCTACCATCAAAAGAGGGTTAGTGTCTACTTCATACTTTGCCTGCTCAAATTTCGGAAGACAATCGGGGTACACCAGTGGTATCAAAGTTATCATCTTATTATCACGAGTTTTATGAAGTAAGCTTAACTTTCCAAGAGATTCTATGAACGAGTGTCTCTTAGAGTCAATCACTAGTGTCTCCATGTGATTGAAGAAATTTTTCATGGTACATTGTGCCGACTGCAATTTAAGTAGTTCGGTTAACATACTTTGGAATATGTTTACTACCTTGTTTTCTTCAGTACCTTCAGACATGACACTTTCAAATAAATGCGTGCCTGCACAATTCGCGTTTAAAAATTTCTTAACTTTATCGAGAAGGTTATTGCTTTCACAAAAGTCGAAATTTCTGCCGAAGTAAGAATCCAGGAGATTCATGTGAAGACAAACCTTATGGTTGGATATATGTCTTTGTGTCTAAAATAAAAAAAACAAAAACAATTGGTATAGATTTTCCAACTATTTATACATGAGGTCAATATTTATTAATATTCAATTCAACGAATTAAGACTCGAAAAGATCTATGGAAAAGGAAAGGTATAGAAACCTTTGCATATTTACAGAACATGTCTTGTTTACATGTTTGCTATTCTTCAATAATTAATTATTATTATTATTTTTATTATTATTATAATTATCATCATTATTATTATTATTATTTTTTTATCATTATTATTATTATTATTATCATTATTATTATTATTATTATTATTATTATTATTATTATTATGCATACCTCTTCGTTATGAGACGACATTCGAACCACCATCAATTTTGATACGGCTTTCGTCCCAGAGGCATACATTCCTAATTCAGTGAGTACATCTACATAAAGATCTACGCAAAGAAGAAAATAACGTGAACTTATTTAAGATATGATCAAACGTCATTCTAAAAGAAAAAACTAATTATATTTCACGTGTACAGTATTTGCTAAATACATACTTAATAATAAATACATTCGTTAATTTCCTATAAAGGAATTTATTTTGTGAATTAAATCAGTTAATTGCACAAAATTATATTAAAAATATGATTGATATAATACCTATTACTCTCTATTTTTCATGTGTTCAGTCTGAACAGGCAAAAATCTGAACACGATATGACAAGGACATGTGAAATACATAAGACTCAGTACGGAATAGTTTCATGACGCTGTATAATGTAAATGAGAAAATAATCACATAAGCACTTATGCCCTCAACATGATGATGACACTTAAATCAATTATAATGTTCTTAACTACCTTTGATTTTGTAGATCATATATCTAAATTCTTTCTTAAATAAAAATGTTTTCAGACTAACAGCAGCAAATGCCTTCACGTCAAGAGAAGGTCAACTTGGCTTACCTAGGCTGAAACTTTCACTATAAATGGGAAGCAAAATCAAAGCAGGCCATATATTAAGCTTTGAAAATGCAAAGGAGGCAAGCTTTCTGTTCAACCCAGTATCATCTTCTAGAACCATTGCACAAATGTTAATGCTCATCTCTTTATTTTCATCGGACTGAAATAAAGAGAAAACAATTTATATGGAGCAGCACTATGATATAAAAAATACAGTACTATGAAATACTACACACATGTTGTTGTTGTTGTGTTGTTTGTTACTGTTATTTTTGGGGGTGGGCTTTGTTGTTGTTGTTGTTTTTTGTTGTTGTTTTTTTTCGTTTCAAAGTAAGGTTTTATAAGTAAGGTTTTATATTGAATAGAGAAGAATAAGGATGAAGAGAAAAAACATATTTGTGCTTCTTTTCTCAATCAAATGAAAATCATCTGAAATCTTGAAATATCAATTCATTTCTAAGCTCTCTTGTGTTTGATTCATATGCCTTCCAATAATGCAAGTGTTTGAGTTTTCATGTTTATATGATGAATTCTACTTAAGTCGGTGCTGTGGAAGGTAATTTTTAGGGTTCATGAGCAGTGTTATGTATCACTTGTTTATTGAAACTAAACCTTGCAATTTTTTAGTGGTCGAGTACCTAACATATATAGTGTAATTGTATCGGTAACAAAATCAACACGATGTATTTTCTTTATCTGAATTTCACAGAAAAAACAAATCCTATAACATTATTTCCTTAAACTTTACAAGCAGGTTCAATCAAACCGGTCCTGCAACATTTTCAATTTTTATGTCGTTTTGAGCGTTCTATTTGTCGTGTTGTTTTTTATACTGTGGTTGTACCCACTTCAATTTGACAAATAATTATAACTTAAGGTTACTGTTTTGTTTGATATTTTGAAATTACCTCAGTAGGATCTGATTCATAACCAACATCAGAATGTGCATCAATCCTGTCTAGAGATTTTAGTTGTTTCATCTTTGGAGACGAATTCGGTGAAGATTCAAAGCTTCGTTTGGTCGAACATGTCGGTTTACTAAGGTCGAGGCTATTGTCACATTCCATGTCATGATCATCTCCCTTCAAATTGGCCATTGGACTATCATCTGAAACATGTGAAACCACTTAATATATAAGTACTTGAACTCAATGAAACAGTTACCACATAAATGCATGCATGCTGAGTAATATTTAATGGCCGGCTATATATTACTTCAATTATTACATAATGTTTTGAAATTTTTTCAGTAAACAATTCGGGAAAAGTTATGTAATAAAATTTATTGAAAAGAAAGAAACGATGCACGGCAGTATTTTATTACAAGATAAGGTGACAGGTGTTGGACAGTGATAAAAACGTACATGGTGCTGCATGTGTAGTTATGGATAGTTGTAGAAATGTAGTCATGTCTTGGATGTCATGATCTGTTTCTGTCATCGTTCTTAGACAAGTCTCAATGGCCGTTTTGTCTCCGATTATAATAACATGCTTGGCTTCTTCTTTATCCATGGTAGAAACTGGGTAACTGTTAGAATTTACTTTTGATATTACCTATTTTGAGGATGAGAAAGTTGATTGAACTAGAGAAAGTTAAATATATACCACATTATTTACAATTTCAAGAAAAATAACTCAGAAATAGATGTCAATCGTTCGAATAGGAATGAATTTCTCCTCTTATCTTAGTAAATGTCGTTTGATTAAATAAAATACGGTTTTTAGTGCTGTTGAGTACGAAAATGTTTTAAAAACTAATGTAAACACTTAGAATACTACGAAAACATTTGAAACAATTGACACAAAACTCAAATCATTTGAAATGAAGTACATTTCTGAAGCGCAAAAGTACGAAACACTGAACATTTAAAATAATCCTACATTTTATGGATCAATAATTTCATTTTCAGTCCATATGGTAAATGACTTTTTCTGAAAAGGTTATAAATACATTAAAAAATTTAATAATGCAGATAATTCATTCACTTACCGTTTACGCGAATAGTTACGTTAATTCATGTAACACAAAGAATTAACGTTTTTCCGCCATTTTGTCCAAACTAATATTTTGTACAATTAAATGTTACAGTAGCAAATATTTTACTTTACAGTAAATAATATTAATATCTGGTGGCTACATAGTTGATTACATATTAAACTTCCTTCCGGTATTGTATGCGTCAAATGTTTATCCTGCCACAATGAATGCACAACGTGTTTTCCGCTTTCATATAAAAATGTTTACAAAATTATCATTTATTCAAATGAAGAATAACACACATCTAAAAATAGATCTGAAAGTAAACGACGCCATGTTTGGTTTAAATATAGCATACAGTTAATGTTTCTAAGAAGAATATGAAACATATTGATAAAATTGATAAAGTAAAACGAATTGTTATTAAGTAAACACATGATCGTGATAAACAATTTTATCTTAAACTCCGTTGTGTTTGTAAAGTACAATTTTGATAGTTTATACGCTTAATGTAACGATATTATTCTTATTAAATGGAGCAGAACGTCAAATTGTTAATCTTGTTTAAGACATGACGTGGTTGTGGTCTTCGTATTTCAAATACCTCTTCAGTGAAAAATACACACATATAAATTGATTTAATAAGGTTCTTTAATCAACAGTTATTTTAATTGGTATGATAAGTGTCAGGTTCTATATAATTATGTAAAGAAATGAAAATAATGAAATGTAACTAACATCTTTATCTACATATATCCATACAAATAAAGTGAAAAACTTTTTAAAGTGTTAAATATTAGCATAACTTAACACACATTTCTTCTCAAAATGAGTAAATTGAATAACTTAAACAAATGTCTGCTTTTATATGCTTTCGACAGTTTAGAAGTTCATTCTGAAAATAGCAAAACAAAGCACGATAGAGAAGACAAAGTACAAAGATGATGTGAATACGCTGTTGGATCCATTCACAGCAGACAGACAGTTTGTAAAAGACGCTTTATCAATGAATCGTATTCCACACTTCACTGTTTTAAAACACGTATCATTGCACGGGAATTGGTCGGATGTGTTAGCGTTGGTGTTATACCAATTCATGTATGCTTTGAACACTTGATTTGAAGCAGATGTCATTTTATCATTCAGCTCGCCCATTGACTTTGGAGTTATATCTGGTATCCCATACAAGCTAGTTGCGTTGTAACCAAGAGTCCATGTCAGCTTATTATTAGCATTTGCAGAATTTAGATCAGCATAATATTGTAAAATATCAAGCTGTTTCCCAGTCTGGCGGTCGTATTTTACAAGTCGGGCACCAGGGTTGTGGGGTGGCTCAATTTCTCCATCTGGAAGCTGATAACGCCAGGGAGTGACAGAAGGGGCAAGAAATAAACTAACAGCAGGGGTACCTGAAGTGAAAATTATTATTGTTAACGAACTCGTAGCTATATATCAATAAAATATAAATCTGGGAGATAGATATCTATTCCAAAAATGAAACATTTAAATGACATATGGTAAAATAAACAGATACAAGTAAAACCTTACCGGCTTGGTTGTAGAAAAGGCGGAAACTATCGTGATGCTCGTGTCCAAAGTGCATAGCAACAATAACGCTAGAATGGCGCAAGACAATATCAATAAACTTTTTATTAAAAGCGTCTGTCATCCAGCTGACACCTCTAGGTGTTGTATATCCTGGTGGAACATGACCTGTTAGGATTACCTGAAATATGACGTTGGTGTATCAATAACTATCTGAAAAACTAACTGGCAGCACGAAAACTATTTTGTAAAAAAGAATTTCTAAAACATGTGCCGAAGATAAGATGCATCAGTTTTGTTTGAATTCATCTCCATTGTGTATTTTGTCTTACGTACATATAGTACTACATACATCTTTTGCAACTGAATTGTACGTACCTTTTCATTATTCGCAGTTGCGTTAGTTAGAACAGAATCAAGCCAAGCAAACTGGCCAGCTGGATCTTCTAGATCCACAGTAAGTGTGTCTTTGGTGTAATACATGTTAGAATTCATCGCTACAATTCTTATACCAGAGTTGGTAATGGTTGTGTAAAATCCACCTGAAAAAGAAAGTATATTTTATTACAATCTACTGATTGGTCTAGATCTACAGTTTCTATTTAATTTGTTAGTATCTTATTTCGAGAAATCTTGCATTTTGAAACGTTCAGTGTGGTTATATTTTTCTGGTCCTTCGGGATCATTGATTCGAACACAATTAATTGTTGAAAATTGAATACCGCTCAAGCCGGTGCTAGGGGGCGTAATGTATTGATGTTGCACTTTTTCATTTACCTCCATGTACTGACTCAATCAAACCGAGTCTGCAAATATTAATGTAATTTTGCTGTGATGAATGCTTCCGAGGGGCCACCCTTTCCCCAGTTTTTTAACTATTCAACATAACTTTTTTTAATATTAGTATTTCGTAACTCGTTTACTATCACAAAATATAAAGTTTCAATTCGATTTTAAATATAAATTATTTTACCTTTCATAAAGTTGGAATCTTGACTTGCATCGTTGATCCAAGACTTCCAAATAAGATATGTTGCGTTGTAAATTTCATTGTTGTGTGGAGGAAATTTATGCTTTGGATGGTAGTCATGATTTCCAAAGGTAGCATAAATAAGTGTATTTGGAAACGTGGATTTCATAAGATTTGTGATGTTTCTAACGAGCTCTTTGTTTAAATCTGTGCTTAGATGACTGCCATCAACATGAGGGACTGTATCACTGAGTAAATAACAATGTTAAACATTACATCTATAAATCCACATGATTGAGTGAATAATATTATAATTGTTGTATGAAATATACAATAGTATAAATTAAGTTTTGTGTATTTCTATATTGTATAATATGATAAAATCGAAATAGAAAAATTCAATCGAATAAAACTACAAGTCACAGTTTATATCCTAGCTCATCAACAATGAAAACTGTCCTATAATACAATATTAAATGGACGAAATTGATATTTTATTTACCCAGTCCATAGCATAAAATCAACATCGCTTTTCAAATCTTTTATTCCTGTCACAGTTTCTTCTACAAGCCCCCAAGGAGAATCACACCATTGGTCTCCAAACATCCCTGGCTTACTTATATTCATTCCATTACAGGATAACTGGTCAGTCCAGTACGAAAAATCCCAGTGAAAGTCGGTCAAATGCCAGAAGTACCCTGAAAGTGTTTCGTGAACCTTATCAGATATATGTTAAAATGCCTGTTGCAACAATTTAAACCCTCCTGTTTAACCGTTTGTGTTTAGCTTCATAAATCACAGGTATAATTCAAATTTATATTTAAAGCAGCATGTCTCCAGATACCGGCTGATTTTCTTGCAAATTTTGAAAATGTAATAAAAAGTAAAATACAAAAAAAAATATTGTAAAGTCATCAAAGAAAATAATTTACACAACTGAAAGTAGCACTTACAACCCATGTAAATTACCAAAAAAAAGAGGTCAAAATATGCAAAAAGCATTTACTGCATTAATAACGCATAAGAAATATGATAAAAATATTTCAAAACCGGTCATTAACCGCAGATAACATGGAAATTATTTTCTTTGACCTACTATTTCTTAAAAATTCAGAACTGTTTCCTCAAGTTTGATTTTCTTGAAATAGTTTGGCTGATTTGGCGGCATGCAGCTTTAAATGAGCATGTGTACGGAAGAGGAAATATACAGCTTTATATGAATCATATATTGAAATAGTTTTCCTCTTTAAATCACAGGCGTACGGCACATTTGCCATGCCAATAATGGTAAAATTATGATAAAATAATCACCCCTTGATCATCAAGAACAAAATTACTATCCAGCACCCGTTTACTATATAAAATATATACAACATTCATTTCATCAACAAAAAACATATATTTACGTAAAACAGGGAAGGGATTATGATTCATAAATTGATCATGTTTTACAATGATTTTGTACAAAGTGTTTAAACTATGTACAGGAATGTATATGTAAAATGTTTTATGAATGAACAACATAATTATGATAATAAATGTAACTTACCAACATCAGCTGAGCTTGTAGAAAATATATAACCGGATATAAAACACACATAAACGAGTCGGTTCATTATGGCTGCTTCTCTTTAAAAGGAAGTGAAATATGATTTGTTATATGACTGGGCTGGCTGTTTGAGTAGATTTTATCAAGTTGTTGATATAATAACATTAAAGTACTTGTAAATATTTAACGAGTTTCAAGTTGGGTTTGCATATCACTTTTAAGAGGTTCTATTTTCAGAAAGCTTAGCAGACTTTCCATGTTATCAAATACCTTTAATGCCTAATATATGTGCAGACCTTACAGCTGTTTAGATGAACTATTTACATACATGTAAACACGTTTACAAAGCTCGTGATATTTTCTTTGGGTTTCCCAGTTTTTCTATTTTTAGCTGTTTATAAGTTCGTGGTCGAATAACCATTGACATATTTAGATAAAAGATTTAATACCGAAAATGAAAAGGTATTAACTTTGCGGACAATGGACGGAAGGGATATTTTGTCGCCAGTGTACCGTGCAGACGGTAAAAGTATAGATATTGTGAAGTTAGGTGAGAAATTTATATTTGTATTTACATATATGTTATTAGCAAGTCATAGGCGGAACTTGTTGGGGTGATATCGTACTAGAAAACGCCTAACCCATGGCGATATAATCATGCTAAAGCAGGCTCAACTATGTAATTAATAATTTGAAAAATACGTTAGGAGCAAAATATTGTGAAGCTTTCCGTTTAATTACAGCGTAATAACTTAAAATATATGACTAGCCGATCGAGTATCAATGCATTAATCATACTGTATAAAAGCAAATTAACCATAAAAAATTCATATTTTTAATTCTTTAGAAATGTCAAACATGCGTTTAATAGTGTTTTAATAATGAATTTAGGGCATATTAGATGTTTAAGAACTGAAGAAAGTAGGCTGAATGAGAGTAAATGTGTATTAAAGGTAACAAATTCAAACAAAGTAGTATTTTGACTTCCATACAAAATACCCATTCACTATAATTATACCGATTGTCAACAAAAGACAGGCCATGTATATGGCAAATGAATATATTTAGAAAACTATAACAAGATACCAAAAATTAAAAAGATTTGAGAAATAAAATATGTAGCATTTCTGAGGCATAGTTTGCTGCTGTAAATTAACGCTTGTAGTACTAATATATACAAGACAAAAATAATGATGATAATTTGGAGTTTATAATGCTTTAACACTTAATTGCAATATCATTTCTTCTTTTTCTTTCAACAAAAAGTGTCATTTTTAAAAATTAAAATAACTTCATTTTGACTATTGATAAATCAAGACAACACATTTTTCATTAGCCATGAAAATCGACAACAAACTAAAATTGACGTTAAAGTCCGCTTAGATGGAAATGCTAACGTAATATTTAGCGTTTTCAATATAGAAATGTTTAAATTAAACTCACTATATTTGCATGTACAATGTACGATAATAAGGAACAGGAAAGTAACAAAACTGAAAGAAAACTAACGCGTTTATGCAAAAATAATTTTAAAAAATACACACATTAAACTTAAGTTACTTGAAATTGGATAAAAATAAGTACGATTAAAACACAATAAATAAAATTAAGAAAACTAAGGAAGAAAGTTAATTTAAACAATTAAAAATAGATAATACAACAAGAACACAAATGTGATGCGTATTTCATATTGTTTATAAGTATATCACTGTTTAACCTGTTTGTAGGACAGGAGTATAAAGTTGATGAATCCATAATGTTCCTTTTATATTTATTCATATTATTATATCTTTCTTCTTCCTATTTCTCATACAGATAAATTTATTAGTTTAGTACAACTGTTCTAAATTTAGACAATGAAAAAGGTAAATATCTTGACATTTAGTTTTTGTTTTAACAGATGAATCATTTGGAAAATGGGTTCACACTGGAAGAAATATTACCATATCGCCGTGCGACAACGAATATGTAAAGAGAAAGCTGAAGGAACCTGATGTAAGTTTTCGGGTTCATTTAATTAAGTACATTAGGTGATGAAAATTGAGTATCGCCCAAGCCGGTGATAGAAGGCATGAGAGATGATGGACTTTTTTTTATTACCCCTCATGTGCAGACTCGATCAAACCCAGTCTGCAATTTTCATGTAATTTGCTGATTCTGGGAAATCACTTTTTCCAGATATTAAAAGTTAAGATTAAGATTATTATATGTAAAATATAGACAAGAATTTAAAATATAGAACAAAGATTTTTTTAAAGGCGGTCCGTCCTTCACTATATCAAGTATGTATCTCATAAAAGACTCAATCAAATATATTCTACAATTAGCACAAACTAATAATGTTTGCTTTAATTTAAGTAAAAGTTTTGTTCGGGGCCAAGAAGAATAAATTGAATGTGATTCACTGATAACAATCGTTTACATGTTTAAAAATCCACTTGACACATACTTGGAAGGATATCAAAACAGTGTACAAAGGGAGATTAATTCAACGTGACAAATTAGATTATTACCCCTCACAATTTTTGTAATGTTGATATATAGGCCAATGGGGGATATTGTTACTGTAATTTCAAGCGCACCTTGTGATAAAAAATGTGTACTGTAACAGTTACACTTTTTTCACAGACTGAATAAAAATAGGAAAAAGGAAAACTTATAGAAACAATGTCCCAAATGAAAGTACTTGTTCGAGGTTATAAAATAAATAATACATAAGTTTGTGAACAACCTCGTAACTGAGGCGATAACAGTATTTTCTTTGGGATGATATTTTTACCTATGTTTTATTTAAATAATATCATGAATTACTTATTTGTTGATTGTCATTGAAATGTATCAGTAGATAAATGTAAAACAAAATATAAACAATACATGATGTCTAATATGCGTTATATGATGAATATTGTCTCATAGAACTTTTTAAAAATCACTTTAATAATTTTTCTTTTTCGTGGGATGTTTTTAGCATAGGTTTTTTACTTTTGTGTTGGAAGAGGTTTTTGATGATTTGTTGTATAATTTCATATTTGGCTAGAAGCCGTTTCTATATATTTAATACACGTATTATTCAAATATTTACACTTGTATAAACCAATGAGATTTGTGTATTGTAAATACAATGTATGAAGAATATAATTATGAATAAATGAGTCGTTGAGAGGACAATACCAAAATGGTCAGTCTGAAGTTAACATTCTTTTTAGACCTCTTATTATTCATTGGTGATCATACACTTATGACATAATATTTAAAAAGAAACTTATGCCATCTTTTCCAGGTATACCCAATAACGAAACACATTCGAGGAAAAGTGATTCTTATTTCAAATACTGGATACCAGGCTCTAAGACTGTTGAAAGATCTATTCACTCAGATGTGCTACAAAATAGGAATCTATACCGAGAAAACAAGCGAGGTAATTTGTTTTACATCATATTTAAAGTATAATGTCATCTTTCAGCAACTTTCTGGCTGTTATGACTTTAAATATACAAATACAGTTCAGATCGAAATCATCAGTAAATGACCACTTATTAAAGGCCAATTAGGGGGCAGGGGACATATTCGTACAATGGTCCCGGAATTTATTAATAACACATACATGGTGTATTGAATGTATTGAAAACTTTTGACTTTTTTCTTTGTTTGTATTCCTCTCTTGCTTTGTGTTTAAGAAACGAACAGTATTTTTGTTTTTTTTTACCGAAACTATTTTAGAAGATTATTTAAAATTGGATATCTAGAAGCAATATTTTATTTAATAGTAAAATAAGTATATTTTGTTTAGTTACTAAAGGCTATGATGACTGTTTTTTATATCTCAAATTACAGCAAGATTTATTGATAATTAAAACAATAGCTGCCTGTCTGTCAGCCCAGCATCAACTTTATGTTTTCTTCAGATGACAGATAAAATACGAACAATATATTAATCAGTAACACTCCTTTGCCATTTCAATAGTTTAGTCTAATTATGCTAACAATTTTGAGCTTTAATAGATTGAAAAATATGGGAACGAATAACCTGCTGGTAAAAAAGTGAGAAACCCATGTCACCAGTATAGATCCAAGCGATGCATGTTAGTATATTAATTTATGTACACATATATAGACATTGAGGGGTTTTGAAAGTAAACATAATTCTTTTGTAACTTTAGGAAATGCACAACATCATTAGTACTGAAGCCGCCAGAGAAGAAAACAAGTTGATTGATTCCTTTGTTGTAGTTATTTATGGCATACCTGAAAACTTTAATATAACTGAGGTCGCAAATGCTCTTACCATAGAAAATGCCAAATACCTAGAAAACAAACCAAAACTTGTTTACATTATAGGTAAATTCTTTGTATTTTTAAAACAATAATATAAGCAATGAGCACATTTGAAAAAAAATCGACTTGGACTGTTTTGTATACACATATATATTCTGAATGTTAGCAGAAATGATAAGCATGTTTTCTATAACTGTAAATGCTTAAATTGCAATGTCAAATAAATTTGTTCACCTTACTATCTCGTTATTATGTTTAAACATAAATATGATCTTAAAACTATGTGCCAATTTGCCTCCCTTCTTTCAATATTTAATCTGTTATATCTAAACGTCTATAATTGTGTACATACCTATTTTGTTTTTATTCTTAATTATAAAGATAGAAATATAATGTGTATTACTTTCAGGCGGTGAACCTGCTGTACGACAGGTCGAGCAACGATTAGTTCAGTACACAAGTCAAGATGTTCTTATCGGAGCTACAGGTACAGTTGATGTTGCTTTTAAATAAGTTTTGAACTGAGCATTTGTTGTTAATGCTTTTGTTTATATTTCCTCCCTTGTAAAACTTTGTATATAATTTAAGATTTACATGGGAAGTAAACTCCAAATACCCGAAGTGCTACAAAACAGCAGAAAACTACGTTCTTGAAATTATTCCAAGGGAAACAACCATGTATTACATACTGATATAATTACAATCAACGGTTTCTTCCCTGCCTATGGTATAGTAAATTACAGGCGTTCTCGTCTTACATCATTCCTTTAAATGCAATAAAGCTTGTAAGCGTTGGGCGTGAAAGGATCCGATGCGTTAAGTTGTACTTTCTAATGAATTGCTATAACAAACGTTTTCATAAGGGGATTAATTTCTTTCATGTTGGAAGTCTATAATTCTATGCTCATACGGATTCGGATACATTGTACTGGTGCCTTTTCCTAAAAAAGACATAAGCAACCATTGAATCTTTGAAATTGCAATGACTTTATTTTGTATAATACCATAATACAACACGGTACAGTCTTGTTAGCACGTATTGTGTTAGAATGTTGCAACAAAGGTATTGTTTTACAATCATGTCGTTGCTTCTGCTTATATGAATGTAATAAATAAGTTACATTCATGTTTTACTAAGGTGTGATTAAATTTAAATGCTAGGGGGCGTGAGGGATGTTGCACTTATTCATTATCCCTCATGTACAGACTCAATCAAACCGAGTCTGCAATTCTTATGTTATTTTGTTGTGATTAATGCTTCCGAGGGATCACTTTGTTTCCAGAATTGTGACAGTTAAAATTATAAAAATTATAAAAAGTTCTGAAAAGTAACATTACGGCCCATTCGGAATACATTGTACTGGTGATTTTCTAATTAAAATAAACATCATCCGAAACATAATTGTATTCTTTTAAATTGCATGTTTCATACATGTATTTACATGTACAACAGCAGTACGGTCTTGCTCGATTTGTTCTGTTCATTGTGATTATGTTTGCAGGATTCAACGGCATGATGTTCTTCATCTATATATTTTGTACATTTGTCCACGAGTTATCTGCGAAAGACATTTGGAAAATTGTAAGTAAATAAAGGTTACATTCATGATTCTGAACAATTGATGTATTTGTTGTATTAATTAAACTAGATTTCATTACATTGAATCATTAATCTTTATAGACACATTTTAAAGGAAATATTTGTTGTTTTATTTTATTTTATTTTTTATTGTATTTTTGTTTTTGTTTTTTTTGTTTGTTTTTTGTTTTGTTTTGTTTTTTTTGCATAATTTTATTTCTTGAATGTTAATTTAAAGTGGCATGTAGTCATTTACATTTTAATAAAGACTTTTTATGTGTTTTTCTTTCTTCATCAGCTGATACAGTATGCCAACTACCATACCTTCCCTGCATCTACATTTTGTACTCTTAGAAAGGACTTTTTCTTTTTTCCGAACGCCAGTATATCAGGTATGTAATATAGGACCAAGTCTGACATATTCATATTACTGTCTACATTTCTTTCTAGTTAAAACATAGTTTATTGCATCAAATACATGTCAAATACTATACAAGTAATGAGTTTATAACAAAAAGCAAATGGGTAGGGTATCCAGTTCTAGCAACATTAGATAAAGCCCTTCCCATTTCCTTGACACTTGTTCCTTGTAACGTTGACACTGATGTACTGCTGCTTATCTACTGACTCCATCCCACAATTAGTTTGTATTTATCTTCAATTTCTTGTGCGAAGTATTTCAGTGATTTGATATGAAGCAGTTAAATTCATTTTTCTTCTTTGTACTTTTATATATACCAATAAGCATGCATTATAGACAACAATAGTTGATGATTTAAGTTTCAAAACAATTTGAACGTGCCTGAGGCAATACTTTATAATTAAACTATTAAAATGTGGTTAACGCGTCGGACTAGTGATCTAAGTATTGCTTACCACGTGGTTTCAGACCCCGTCAGAAGCAAACCATTGTTTCATTGAGCAAGAAACTTTACACACATTGCTAAGTACTGATTAGTTCCAGCAACAGATTCTAAAATGTTTCAATAAGCTTATTGCTTCTTACACAATAGAACTAAAATGAATTCTGACAAACTAATACAAATAAAGATATGCATTTTAATAAATATAACTTGCAGCATTTAACATTTTATTCTTATTGCATTTATGTAGTTCTTCCAGACGACCTAGCTAATCTCGACCCAGCAGACATACAGTTATACAAGAAGCTTTTGCAAGAAGGCTGGGTCGATACATACAACATAAGACTCATGTTCGTCGGTCTTTTCGGGGCGGGTAAAACTTCAACTGCCAGAAGAATCATGGGTAAAGAAATAGATGATGTGACAAGCACTGATGGTATAGATGTGTACATTGGTAAATGCAAGGTTGATTTGAGTAATGACCAATGGGAGACATTAGAAGGTGACTTTATAACATTTATCAATACCTTGTGATCATTTCAGTTAACTTTAAGTTTCCATTTATTTATATAATTCATGTATGTACGTTTCATGATTAATACCATCTTTTAAGCATTCACAAGCTTTGTGTACAGTTGAACAACAATAAGTAATGTTCTACGTAACTATTGAATTCTAAATGTAGAAGAATACCGGTGATGGCTCATTTGTTATTGTAATATGGCGATTCGTGGATTGCAATGCAAAAGTATCATGGCTAATTGATAGAGTAGATAAATATGTATCCATGCTTAATAAATTACTTATTTTCATTCCTTTTCAGGGGGTAAATTTACCAGTTTCATGAGTCAGCTTTCGTATTTATTGCACGATGATATTCACTTATTGTGCTGACATGATATCAATAACCACCCAAAAATCAAATTAGCCATGCATAATATATAATTATTTCATTTGAAATGAATGCTAAATAACTATCACAATGTTTAGATCCTAGAAAAAGTATGCCTCTAACGAAGCTTGCCGAACATTTACAAGATCCGAGGGCATGCACAGAACATTCTGGTCATGAAGATATGGACATATATTCAAGAACTGCAGATAAAAGTCACAAAAGACGGAAACTGGAATCTAGAAGCTCGTTGTCTTCTTCATTGAACTCTTCAGAGTTTGAAATGATCAATGTAAAAGCTCTTACTCTTTTATAAAAGTGTATTTAATATCATTGATAAATCGTAGATAAGTACATCGTTCAGTTACGGAAAGCGAAGCAACATATTAACTGAGACGAGTGATTACACTACAGGAAAAATAAAATGTTTATTAGAATTATTAATTAGTTATTTTATGTTATAACTTGATTGTGTTAAATATTATCATATTTTTATATTTTCAGAATCATAAAAAATATATATAAATTGCGTTTATGACTATTATAGCAACTTTAATTATATTTGATCCATCAATGTACATGTATTACATTGGTTAAATCTTTTATAGATTTCTATTAAGAATGTAAAGGGTAAGTTATTGTTACGGGAAGCATTATTATGAGATACTTAGAAAAGAAAACTGCAATATTACATCTATGAATAAGTATAATAAGTATGAAACTTATTTGTATTTTACTTTGCAGATTGATTCCTCAACACGGACTAGTTCTATGGATAGATCAGAATCATTCGGCGAACCTGATATAGAAATGGTAGACGAGACTGACACGCAGACTTCTAATACTGACTACTTGAAGACAGCTCAGAGAGTGTTGCAGGAAGCGAAAGAATCAAATGGTTCATTTTATGTTTTAAATAATGACTTGTGTTGAAAAGTTTCAGATTTCATTAAAAAAGCGAAATACTTATTGGAGCTATACATTTATGATAACCATTATTTAAGGCATTTATCCATTCAACATTAACCCAGGGCTTAATTAAGAACGCAAATTAATATTTATAAGACTTACCGAACACCCATAAGGAATACACCAGGCGAATCATGAGCTATCATGAACGTGTATGCAATTTTTATCGACCAATCTGTACAATTCTGTTCAAATAGATATACCATTTTCTTTACTTTTCAGCCAACAAAGCGAAAACAGCAATTGTATCGCTATGGGACTTTGCCGGACAGTTCGTCTACTATGCTACTCATCAGCTGTTTTTCAGTCCACGTTCCATTTATCTTCTCGTGGTTAACATGGAGGATGGTGAACTCGATAAGACACTGGACGGATGGTACATGGACCTTACAGGGAAAGATTCTATAGAAGCTCAAGGTACTTTATTTGAAATTATCACAAGTTAATTCGTATGTTAAATTAGGTTATAACTTTAATCTGTTAAGAGAAGTTAATTTGCATTATTCGATTTGTCAGTCCTTTCAGATAAACACAAACATTTATCATTTAATTGTGTTTATAAACTTATATAAATCTCTCTGGAAACAGTTAATTAACAATATATGTTTTCTTAAATATTAGCATTGATGTCAAGTACTAAAGAAATATTCTGGAAACTCTGAAACCCTTCTAAGGCAGTTTAAAGAAACAAATAGGTAATTAGAATCGCATGTATGCCTTGAGAAAGTCTTTTTATGCTCCCCGAAAAATTTCGGGGAAGCATATAGTCGCCGGATTGTCCGTCCGTCAGTCCATACACACGTACGTACGTCCCAAATTCGTGTCCGGTCCATAATTTTGTTATTTGAAGTCGGATTTTAAAACTACTTCACAGAAATGATCACCATATTGAGACGACGTGTTGCGTGCAACAGTTTGGTCCCAAACAATCGCTACCTTGAAGGTCAAGGTCAGAGCATGACCTTGCAGCAATATCGTGTCCGGCTCATAACTTCGTTATTTGAAGTCGGATTTTACATCTATTTCACAGAAATGATCACCATGCATATTGAGACGACGTGTCGCGCGCAACATTTTGGTCGCTACCTGGAAGGTCAAGGTCACAGCATGACCTTACAGCAAAATCGGGCTGGATTTGAAGTCGGATTTTACAACTTTCACAGAAATGATCACCATATTGAAACAATGCGTCGCGCGCAACATTTGGGTTGTTTTTACACTTTGAACTTTGTCTGTGATATAACTCTGACACTATACTCTGAAGAGGTATACCTTCCTGTGTCTAAAACCTATTCGGGGAGCATCACCCGGTTCAACCGGTTAATGTTATGAAATATTATGGACCATTTCTTATCTCCAAGGCCAGGCTTACAAATCATTAAAAATCAAGGACTAATGGGATACAATTATTGACCTCGAAGGACAAGTAGAATAAAGCATCAATGATATGCACGCACAAGCCAGTCTTTTAAAGCTGTAACAAAACACTTTAAACTACATGTAATAATTGTATTGATTAAAGTGTTCTCAAAATGATACTATTCCATATATATTGAAGGCTTTTACATGTCCTATCATAGTCCACATTAAACCGAGAACTCTGGTACTCTTTAGACTGTGACATATAATGTTGCAAATAAATTCAAGTGTACTAAAAATAAAATTTCAATGGCATTGAAAGACAATCTTAGATGGCCCAGCTCCTGTTTTAGCCACATTCCTGTTCAGGTTTCTTACTTGTGCCTTTCCGGCATCGGTTCTTGGTGTCTAAATCTTGTCGGACTTCGCCTACTCTTTATGATCTGATGGATCATATTTTATATTTTGAAGGTGGTGTTCATTTCTGGCTTAGCTCAATCTATACATACGCAAGAGGAGAAACAGAAGGAGTCCCACCAATCATTCTCGTCGGTACACATAAAGATAAAATGAAGGGGGTAAGCACTAAGCACATTTATTATTATGTCGACACATTAATAAGCCCACTATGATTTAGATAGGTTGTATAGATGTAAGTTTCTTTTGGTTATTTATATGCAACTGTGGGTACTTATTTACAACTCTGTTTTGTACTTGTTTTATTCCTAGCATTCTAGTCATTCAGAGGTCGCTAGTTCGATCCTTAGTCGGGGCGTATTTTCTCCATAACTGTTAATTTATTGACATTAATCTTGATAATTATTAGGATAATGATTTATGCTATGTTAAAGTGATCTATAGCACGATTCGGTTGACAAAGGAATTTGATGTCTCAGAGATCGTCCAACACTGCATGATTTAAATAGTGCATGCATACTCGATTATTTTCGTTCTTACTTTTTAATAGCTATATATATTTGCCAATAAAAAGTGGATTTTTACATTTTAGAGTGATGAAGAAAAGAGAAAGACAGCAAGAAAGCGCTTTCGACAGATACGAGATATGTTTTTCGATTCTCCAATTTCCAAGCACATAAGATCAGAAGATATTCTCCTTGACAACAGTGTGCAGGATTCGAGCAGCATAGATCAGTTGAAACAGGTTGTAATGGATGTGTCTAAGGAAATGTTTTACTGGGGTCAAAAAGATCCAGCAAAGTATATAGAACTTGAACAAGCGCTTGTTGATCGTCGTAATGATGGCACCAACTTTATAACCATGAAAGAGTTTAAAGAAATAAACCAGAAATTAGCATCACCATTACAAAGTGAAGAGCATTTGAAACTCTTTCTAAAGATTCAACACCAAAAGGGAACAATTATTAATTTCTCTGACACAGAGCAGCTAAAGGACATCATAATTCTTGAACCCCAGTGGATTATCAACGCATTTCGTCACTTGATAAGAGCAAAGGACTTTGGTGAGAAGTATGGACATTTGAAGAAGCAATGGGAAGATTTCAATGATACAGGGAAACTGGACATTGGCCTTGCTGAAAGTATATGGAAACAGGACCTCAAGAATCACTTTTATGAAAACTTTGATATGCTGCTTGAGTTTCTTGCAAAACTAGACATTATAGTCAGAGCCTCGCAGCTTGGAGAAAATGGGATCACAAAGAAACCACTTGGCTTCTACTATGTGCCTTGCTTGCTGAAGGAAATGCCACCTGACAATGTACTGCATTTGCAACATATTCCTGATGGCATAAGAACACCTGTTCTGTGCTTCACGTTCCGGGAAAGTTTCCTTCCACCAGCCATTTTTAACAGAGTGCTAGCTCTATGTTTGGGCAAATGGCCAGTAGCTCGCCAAGGGAAACATACGTTTTTGTATTGCGGGTGTGCGGTATTTGAGGTCAAAGAATGTGATGACGAAGACAGGCATCGACTTCACATATTTTTCAAAAAATCAAAAATAGGTTTACGGATAAGTCGGTACAGTACTAAAGGTGTCAAGGAGGTTGACCGGCAAGTGTGTGACAGAGTTAGACGGTTCATAACCAAGGCAATCAGGAATGAATTTAACCGATTTCAGAACAAACCAACACCGGGAATGGACGAGGAAATGCACGACAGAGATCCGTTCTATTTTCAAATTCAATGTACCGATAGTAATCCCGAGGACGTCCTCGACGATGGTTTACATGACATTAAAGAGCTGACTGACATGTTAGAATGTGACAAGGGAGAACTAGATGCTTTTTGTCGAAAGCACAATGGGGAGAACGAGCCACATTCGTTTGAACCTGTCAAATTGCTGAAAGAGTGGTTTCCGGACAAGGTATCACTAAAACATAAAATTGTACAAATTGTAAAATTTGGGCTCACTTAACTTTTATACATTAAAATCGTTTTCATTTATTATTTTAGTTTATGAAATAAAACATGTATGTATCCGTTTATCGTTCTTAAATGCTTAAACATATTTCGAGAAACATAATATCTGAAAGGAGGACTGCACTGGATAGGAATTGTAAATAATTTGAAAATCATTGAAAATGTTTTACAGCGAAATTGATATGATGTTTTTATCATCAAAATGAACAAGCCATTATGACTGTTTATATCTTCCTTTAATTTGTTCATTCAGTTACATAAAATATCTTTAATTATAATAATATTTATACAATATCTATTTTCATAGATTCCGGAATGCCACAGGGAGTCAACAGAAACCGTCTTAGGTATGCATTCATTCATTCATTTATTCATTCATTCATTCATTCATTCATTCGCTCAGTTAGTTTGAAATGTTTGGAATTGAGAAACTAGCAATATTTTGTTAGAAATGTTTAATGTTTTGTTACATTTACAGAATCATGGTTTAACAAAATACCTGAAGGAAAGAAGTCTGTAGATTTGAGTAAACTGGCAGATAAATATCTCGGACCTTTCCTAACCGGTTTGTCAGCAAGTATTGGAAAGAACTGGATGTTTTTGATGCATGACCTGGTCGTTACGGTATTCATTTATAATACAGTCTTTTATGATTTTTAAATAAATTAAAGTCGCAATTAGTATGCCATTTGTAATTGCATGCAGATAATTAGTATTTCTCTCGCGAATGCTATCTTTCATGGAACTGAACTAGTCTTTGAGGAAGCGTGTATATGTCATCTTATTCAAAATTTAAAAGACAATTTACAGTAAATATGAAGTAAAAGAATGAACGGTTATTCATACAAAGTCACAGAACTGATCAATATTGTACGACAGTATACTAATAATAAATACATGCTTGTACAATAGTGTAAAATGGTAGATATGCGTATTCATGAGCATTATAGATAAATGAATTATGTGTTTTTTAATGTACTCATTCATTCTGTATACTAGAATATTAGTCGGGCAATTTTAAAGAATTGTATAAAATGACAAGCAATAGAAATAGTAAAAGTGACATAATGCTTATATTTTTCGCTATCGAGTTGAATTAGTAATATATATTTAAAAATGGGCTTGACCAATAGTTAAAAATGAATAATGTTATCATGCAATAAAAAACTGGCTAGCTTGTTTTAAGAATTGAACGTAACCAATACATTCAGAAATCGCCATGGACATGTGTATTATTGATTATTTTTGGCATAGTAAAATTATAAAAAAAATAAACACAGTTATGGAAAAATGTCAAGTTATATGTATTTTACATGTTCACTGACCATATTAACTTGGATGGGCATAATGCCACTTTAAGAACTACTAAAAAGATAAATAATATTATTAATAGGTAAAAGGTAAAAACGAAAACTAAAATGGTTGTAACCATTTTTTTTAGCAAGTGCTTATTGACCAGAAGATGTCTGAAAATCCTCGTGAAGTATCACGAAGTATTTATGAGGCACTAAAGCACTGGATCCACCAAACCCGGCAACCCACAAATCCGGACACACCCACAGCTGGTAAACTACTGGACGCTATATTTCAGGCAAAGAATGTCACTTTTGATTGGGAAGAAATCCAAAACTGTTTTGATAAATTGCCGATGTAGACGTTAGATAAGTGTAATGTGTTTATGAATAGCCGGCATGACTCATTTAGCTGTCTTTCCCCTGATTTACATTTGGAATTGCTTAAGTTATATATATTGGTATGAAAATGGGTAAAAAATAAAGGTAAATGATTTTTCAAGAAACGAGTGGAGTGTATGTGAGCACAATGATAGGTAAAGACTGTAAAGTTGTTCAGTTATTCCGTGTTGGGCTTTCTTTAGGGAATCTGTTTTTTTTTCTATTTTATAATTACACAAAGTGGTTAGGACAGATGCATATATAGGACCTTTTATGATTATCTCTACGTCATTGTCAATGAAATTGTAATTTGAATTATTTGTATAAATATAGATGATTATAAGCAGTATCATTAATATAATTTATGATATATTTATCGTACTGAATAAATAGTAAATGAAAATGTAAAGAAAAAGGAACACTTCAAAATAGGGTTTATTTAATGTTTTGAAAGTTGCACAAGTAAATTTATCTATATATTCAATTTATATACACATATTATTATGAAATGTTTTTGTTTTATTTACGAATATTTTGACATGCTTAATATAAAAAAATATTTAGATATATTTTATGTGTACGATGTTTATCGTGCTATTCAAAATGTCTTAATTGTTTCTGGGTCAATACACGACAATTTAAACAATCGCACCTTCTCGGCCCTATCCGTGCATACCCCGAATGGAGGCATATTAGTTTTGAACAGTCCGTCTGTCAGTCCGTCAATCCTTCCGAAAACTTTAACATTGGCCATAATTTCCTTATTAGTAAACAGATTTGATTCATATTTGAACACAACATTCCTTAGCTGAAGACTGACTAAGGTATGTAGAACAAGAACTGTCACGGTAAGTTGACAATGCTCCCGAAGTGGTGCTTTGTCCTTTGATTTATAGACCAGATAGATTATTTGTTTTTGGACACTCAGATCTTCAATGTGAAAGTCATTCAAGGGTCAATGTGAAATAAATATAGGTCAGTTGGAAGGTCTTGTCCAAAGGGGCATTGTGTCCAGATATGAATTAATTCCACTTACTAATAAAGAAGTGATGACCAATGTTAAAGTTTTTGCATGTTCTAGAAGGTCATTCAGGGATCAAGATAAAAAGTACAGATCAGTTTGAAGGTCTTGTCTCCAAATATGAGTGGACAATTTGACCTTCAATTTGAAGGTCATTCAGGGCTCAAGGTCAAAAGAATATAGGTCAGTTGGAAGGCCTTGTCCAAAGAGGTGTTGTGCCTAAATATGAATTAATTTGATTTACTAATAAGGACATTATGGCCAATCTTATATGTTTTTGGACAATTTGACCTTCAAGGTAAAGGCCATTTAGGGGTCAAGGTAAAAAATACAGGTCCGTATGAAGGTCTTGTGCTAAGGGATGTTGTGTTCAAATATGAATCAAATCCGTTTACTAATAAGGAAATTATGGCCAATGTTAAAGTTTTCGGACGGATTGTCGGACTGACGGACATACAGTTCAAAACTAATATGCCTCCTTTCGGGGTATGCACAACGTCTTGAAAAGAAATGCTGCTGTGCAAAGACGTTTTAATTTGCTTTGGTGGATTGAAAATTATATTTTCACCATCTGAATTACATATTAAAACCAGACACGTACTGCGCTTGTCTTGCTCACAACGAGGTAATGGTGCTCACAACGAGGATTAAAGCAAAAAAGGGTATATCTTCGTTTCTATGAAGACTTTCAGGTAATAATTTACGTTGAAGACTTGTGGGCATCTGTTTTAGGTTAGAATGCACAAAACTTTACCAAAATCGACGATTTCAATGTTAAATTTGGTCCGAAGAGAAGTTGTCTCCAGTTTTCCAGCTACCCCGAGTGACTGCGTCGCACGGTATTTCCATCAAAGTGTCCACCAACAGGCAATATCTTTACATGTGCATACTCAGAAAACACATCGCTAGCTAACTGCATTCCGATATGTTTACATAAATGTCTGCAATCTTTAAAAATTATGAAAATCATCTAGTTTATCGTGTCACACGTCCTAGATGGGTGCTCACCACGAGGAACGGAAGTTGCTCACAACATTTTACCGATGGACATTTTACACTCGTTGTGAGTTGAACGGGCGTCCTGTCGTGTGAAGTTAACAAATGTATCGATATATTCGTTAGGAACCAGCGTTTATCCGATGACCTTTACGAAACTTAATGATAATAGCAGAGATGCTCTAATTGCAATTCAAAGTGACAAAGTTATAGAAAAAGAAGGAGAAGACAAAAGAAGAAGAAGAAGAAGAAGCTTTATTCTTTCGCAAATAGCATAACATTACATCCGATAATGCGGAGAGGCATGAAACCTCTTTGAAGGATAAGGACTATTTTGCTCGTCTGAGTACAGTGTGGTATTTTACAGACCAACAAAGGTTATAAACACATTCTCTACATATTTACATAACTGTAATAGCTATATAAACTGTTTAGTACTTAACATGAACACAACACTTTCCAAAGTCATTATACATAATTATAGTGTATATCATTCTCAAAATCACCAGGACAGAGTTCAATGGTATCAAGAATTTTCCTATGCTCATAATACTCAAATCTTAGGCATATTGTTCAAAACTCAACGTAAAAATTATATTGACCAATGAAAATCCTGAGAGTCACGACTGAACTCATCCAGGCCATGTTCGGCCATATTATGTACATAATTTAAATGAAAAAAAAATGTCAGTTTCTCACGTAGAGCATAAATGAATTTAGCATTCTGTATCAGAAAAGCCATTCAGCAACTTATTTAGAATGACCTCAACAATCAAAATGTGTTCATCATTTGGAGCTATAAACAGATTTATGGCATCAGATGCCATGTCGTCAGAAAAAATATTCATGTTCTATTAAGTTTAAGTTTATAATGATTTAAATAGATATCATTTAATTCATATTTCTCTGAATAACCAGTGCCTATGAGATCTTTACGTTTGGAATATAGGACTCCTCAAGTAAGCTTATAAAATTATTCAGATCATAAAGCATTTAGATGTTGGGTTTTACGTCGTACCAACACAGTATAAGTCATATGTCGACTTTTAAGCTTTACTGGTGGATGAAGGTCTCGGTGCCTCTTTGCTCATTACTTTGTACGTTAGCAAGCACGTGGATATAACCACTGACATTATGTTTGCGTATGACTGTGTGTCGTTATTTGTAATGTAAATGCAACACAATTATCCCTTTATTGACTAAAGCTGGTAATGTCACATAGGGAAAATATAATCTTTACGTTTCAACAATCAAATTTATGTTTAAACGATGATAAAAGCTTGATTTTAACTTTTCATAACAAATGTTTATTTGTAACAATGATAATTATACATGTACATTTATATCAAGGACACTGATTTCGTCATCATCATATGTTAAGTCAATAACATAATAATTTTCATTTTTACTATAACTTTAGTAATTTATTAATCAAATTTTTACATACTGGATTACTAAAAGGAACGTGACCTTGACATCCAATCTCTGTTGTCCTTTCGCAATACATGCTACACATAATTATACCAGTCTTCTTTCATACATCATCATCATCATCATCATCATCGTGCTATAAAGTTATTATTGAATAACCATAATAATTTTCATTTTACTCTTACTTTAGGAATTTATTTATCAAATTTGTACATAATGCATTACTAACAGAACCTGGTTCTGACCACCATACATATGTGTCCTACCGTAATAAACATAATTAATTTTACAAGTCTTCTTTCATACATCATCATCATCATTATCAATATCATCGTCATCATCACCATGATAGTATCATAAACAAAACCATTTTCATTTTTACTATAACTTTAGAAGTTTACATAATAAAATGTGTATATATTTCATATTAACAACGCGTGGCCTTGACCACCAAACTCCTTCGAGGTTTCGTAACAATTTATTTCACTAGTCTTCTTTCATGAGTCATAAATAAAGACACTATAGCCACGTCCTACTGGAGTTAAAAGAGACTTACAAAGATACTGTTTGAAAACTTTTTTCACACAATGTAATGTTACAATTTACAGTTGTCATTTATCATGAAAATATCGTTATTGAGAAAATGGTCTTACAAAGAGAACGTATTTACATTTTAATAGACATGAAACGCTGATATCCCATCATTAATTCTTCTCACTTGTGTGTATTTTAATATGTTTTGTAAGTCTACTTTTTGTTGCAAATTGGCTGTCACATAATTCGCATTGATATTTCTTCTCTTTCGAATGTATCAGCATATGTTCTTTAAGATAATTGTGTCGAGCAAAAAGCTTGTCACAAATTTGGCATTTGTATTCCTTCTCTCCTGTATGTATTGCCATATGTGCAACAAGATAGGTTTTTTGAGTAAACCGCCTGTCACAGATTTCGCACACATTTTTACATTCTTCTGAATGCATGTTCATATGTCTACTAAGATAACGTTTTTGAGCGAATGCTTTGTCACATATTTCGCATTTGTATTTCTTCTCTCCTGTGTGTAGTAGCATATGTCTTTTAAGATTACTACTTGCATTAAATGACCTTTCACACATACTGCATTGATATTTCTTCTCTCCTGTATGTGTCCCCAAGTGTATTTCAAGAGCACGTTTATTAGAAAATGCTCTGTCACAGATTTCACATTTATATGGCTTTTCTCCAGTATGTATAAACATATGTGATTTAAGGATAGATTTATGAGAAAACGATTGGTCACAAGTATCACATTTATATTTCTTTTCTCCGGTGTGCGTAATCATATGTGTTTTAAGATTACTGTTTTGAGTAAATGTTTTATCACATATTTCACATTGAACTTTCCGTCCAGTGTGAATCGCCATATGTTGTTTAAGAGAAGTATAATATGAATAGGATTTTTCACATATTTCACATTTATATTTCTCTAAGCCTGTGTGTATCGTCATATGTCCTTGAAAAGTATGGTTATCAGCAAATGATTTGTCACATATTTTACATCGGTATTTTTTCTCTCCTGTGTGTGCTCTCATATGTCTGTCAAGAGCACTTTTTACAGAAAATGGTCGATCACAGATTTTGCATTGATATTTCATCTCTCCTGTATGTATCGTCATATGTAGTTTAAGAGATTTATTTCGAGGAAACTTCTTGTCACATATTTTGCATTCATATTGTTTTTCTCCTGTGTGTATTGTTAGATGCTCTTTCAAATAATGTTGATAAGAAAATGATTTTTCACAGATTTCGCATTGAAAACTTCTATCTCTGGTGTGTATTATCATATGTTTTTTAAGAGTTTGTTCATTAACAAATGATCTTTCACAGAGTCCACATCTATATTCTTCTCCAGTGTGCATTGTCAATTTTTAACCAGTATACTTATTTTGGTCACAAATATATCCTCTCAATAAGCTTCCTTTCAAATAACTTCTATTCGTAGTATTGTTTATACAGATCTGACAATCAAAAACTTGCACGTGTTCTGTATTCGTGCGAATTTTACCAATGGGTTTCTTGATGTCTAAAAAAAGTAAAACAAAAAAATAAGACATAAATAAATATAGTCTCTACGGAACAGTATTCACTATTTAAACTCAATAAACCTCATAGTTTAATATATGCATCAATCTTACTTCATTATATTGTAAATAATTTATATTATGAAGATCCTATCTGTTCAAACATGTATCTTTCAGTTCCATTTTCCTTCTTTTTTCTTGTATGTACAGATAAATATAATGAGAAAGGATGATATATAGCATTTAATTCAACAGTCGCTTTTACCTCAACTTCTTAACCCCTAAATAACATGGTTGTACCGGTGATATAATTCTTTCAACTGGAGATAAATCGTGGTGAAATATGTCTGAATTGTTCAAATAATTAAGTCAAGATACAATGTAATGATGGCCAAGCACAAACGAATTGGCGCTTTTATAAGTGCAAAACTAAAACCTTGAAAATCATCTGCGGTTCTTTGTAATTGATTAATAGATTTAATTAAATTTATATAGACACCCGGAAGTACTCTATTTATTATTTGATTTTCACTTGAAAGTATTGTATCGATAATTAATTATTCAAATTAAATATACCAACATGTGGTATATTAAGAGAAATAAATTTTACAAAACATGCTTTTCAGAAATAACTTATCGTGAAAAATTCGTATATTCACATCAAGTACTTGGTAGCTGTTATGTTATGTGACATTATGCCCATCCAAGTATATATAGTCAAAGTCACTTTACATTTTACCTTAATTCGTTTCAGTTTTAAATTTTCTTCGACTGAACGATTAATAACTCACGTGGCCTTACTTGTGATGTTCAATTTATAAACAATGGCAACATTGTCGCAATATTCGCCCGTCACAGAAGATTTTGAGAGAGATGTGGGCATTACAGGTATGCATTTAGGCGATATGCTCTGGGCAATATCTGGAAATATCTTGATATATTATCATCTCTAGTGACTTTTTATCTGAACTTTGACCCTTATGTATGATCTTGACCTAAGCCGCAGGCACCTAAATTTAGTGCGAGGCACTCCGCCTCTCTATAGTGAACATTCGTGCCAAGTTATATTGAAATCCCTCAATGCATGTAGAAGTTTTGCTACAGACAAACGTTTTTCAATGACCTCTAAGTGTCACCTTGACCTTTGACCTAGAGACCTGGTTCATGCACAGTTACGGCTTCTCATAGTGGTGAACATTTCTATGATGTTTCATTAGAATCCCTTTGTATGTGAAGCGGTATGTTCTGGACAAAATTTCTATATTTTATCATCTTAAGTGACCTTCAAAATCATCTTCAGTAACCTTGACCTACATATGTTAATCTTAATTACATGTTTGATACCAGTATCCATGATAATGGCCATTTGTGTTCCTCAATAAATGATGACTAAATGGTCCCAATACACATTTTCATATTTTTATCTGAACTTTGACCTCTATGTGTGACCTTGACCTTGGTCGCAGGGACATAAACACTCCGCCTCACAATAGTGAATATTTGTGGCAAGTTATATTGAAATCCCTTTATACATGTAGAAGTTTTGATCCGGACAATAATTTTCCAATGACTTCTAAGTGTGACCTTGACCTTTGATATTGATGCCTAGTTCATGCGCACGACACGGCTTCTTATAGTGGTGAATATTTCTATTTAAGTTAATGTAACTCAGTGTTCTTCATATTTTTGTAGTGATCTGAGAAACATACATGTACATATACTGTAGTGTAATTCTGCTTGAATTTTAATTAATGCCAACTGCAGTATGGTCCATTTGACGAATGCGGTCCGTTGCTATGTAAAAATCGAATGGAAGTAGTATTTTTAGCGCACGTGCAATCTGCGTACGGCAAATCACTTTTATTTAAATTTATTTATGAATAACCGACATGACTAATTAATATGCATTTCCCCTGATTAACATCTGTTTGTTTGTTTGTGTGTTTCATTTTACGCCTTTTTCCAACAGTATTTCAGTCATATAGGCAGGTAGTTTCCTTACCATCGTTCCTGGAGAGTTACACCAGAATTAGACCACCTTCATTCTCCCTGGGATGGAAGCCACGCCAGAGAAGTAACTGGATAAGAAGTCATCGACTCTAACCCCTCGAACACGGAGGTGGTGATTAACATCTGAATTAGGTTTAATTTATACTTCAGTGAAAAAAATGGTATTAATGTTTTAAGAAAATGAGTGTCAGCCTGTAAGCAGCGTGAGTGACAAGTAAAGGCTGAAAAAGTCTTTTTATAAAGGTTAGAAGGACAGGTGTATAAAAGGATATAAAATATGGTAATCTCCATCCTTGTAAGTGCACAAAGATGTATATAAAATGTACTTTCAACTATGTGTTTACAGAAAATAAGCATTATCACCAATATAATTTAACGTATACATTTGTAAGTATTACACTTCATAAAAAATAAATGAAAACATAAAGAAATAACACCCATCAAAACAGGTGATTATTTAATATATATTAATAACGTATCAATTGAAAGTTGAACCTGTACATTTATTATCTATATATCTTATATAATTAGTGCACACATTATAATGAAATTTGTTTACTTTGTTTACGAATATTTTGGCAAGCATAATATGAATAAATCTATTATATGTGTACTATGATTTTATCGAGCTATTCAAAATTGCGTGTGTGTGGGTCGGCTCACGACAATTCACACAATCTCGATCATATTCTCGGTCCTTTACGTCAAAAACTTCGGATAAGAACACCGAACACAAAAGTCAGAATGCACAGAACCACAGTGTAGGAACTTGAGTTCTTATGATAACTTGTCGGGAGTTCTTGTGATAACTATCACGGAGTTCGTCGGAAAACTTTTGTATATACAATCAGAAACAATCATCAAAAGTGGTAATTTTCATCTTTAAAAAGTGAGATTTAGGTTCTAAATTAAAGTTTAATTATTAAACTTGCCTTACATCTTGTATTATGTGTCAAAAACTAATTTACAGTCCATTTTTTATAACCTCTTCATGTTTAAAATCTGGTAGTTTTGAGTATTAATTATTCCAAAATTATCATAATAATTTATAAAAATTATTACTGTTTAACAAGCGTCTAAAACGTCTTTTACCTAGATAAACTATGAAAAAATCTATACTTACGCACTTATGTTTTGTCTTTAAAACGAAAAACTTAAACAAATCGCAATACATGTATCTCTACCTTTATAATCCCTACCTCTATAATAAGGCTGCTGTAAAAGAGTTTGTAAAACAAAGGGAAATTACTCTGTTAAGTAGTATAGGCATCAGGCTCTAATAATTACAGTATTGTTGGCGTCCGCGCCGAAGCGCGGCGCCCCTTTTATGGAATGAAATCAGATTTTGTGAAAGGGCGACATCAACTTCTCGAGCCTTTAAGTCTGTCATAATAAAAGCCGATCATTCCGATCGGTATGAGGGTGCTTGTCAGATTATTATTAATTAAAAATGAAATGTCGCGATATGTACAATGAATAGCGAACTGGAGGATTTCGCAATGCAAACATTTTGACTTATAATCGTCGATCAATATGACAATTGAATTATTAAAATTTATTTTACAATTTTAAGGGATATCCCTGAAGATAATTATGTTCAAGTTTAAAGACAATCCTTTCAAAAATAACAAAGTTACAGCCAATAACAGCATGAACAAGCCAAAAATTGGACTTTTAACCTTGAAGGTCAAGGTCATTTATGGATGAAGGTCAAGGTTAGTGTGGTCTACTGAAAGGTCTTGTCCCAAGGGTTGTTGTGGCCAAGTATGAAGAATATACACCAAGAAATAAAAAAGTTATGATCCGGGTACAAGTTTGCGGACGGCAACGGGAACGGCAACGGCCATAGGAACTCGAAAACAGGACCGCATATTGCAGCGCATATTTTCGATCGTGTAACGGTTTTTAAAAACGTTTCTGCTACATCTTAATATCTTTTAGTATTATACGAGTGTATGGACTCAAAAAATATATTATCAATTGAACCCTATCTGTCTATTTTAAAACTGGTCAAATTTTACGGTATTATAAAAAAGACAAGGAGTGACATCCGCCATTTGCTGCAACGTTTCCGGCATGAGTTTTTCCCCTTTGACTACAATTGATTACTATTTTTTCAGAATTTTGTTCCCGTTATTTTGTCAACTATCAGTATAACGTTACTGGTTTATTGTTTACACGTGTTGACATGTATAGGCGGCATTATAACGGGCGTATTCGTGTTTTGATTTGTTAACATGGAGAAAACAGACACTTAAGTTATATAGTCCAACTGATTGTGCCTAACTGAAAAAAAGTAATATTAAAACATGATCCATAGATAAATATTTTAGGCACTCATCTGGTATTCATTACTAAAAAAATTAAAACAAAAATCAAACATATCAAGGGGATTAACTTACGCCGAACGTTGCGGCAAATGGCGGATGTCACTCCTTTTCTTTTTTCAATATACCGTAAATTTGACTGATTTTTGGGGGCGCATGCGCAATGCGCCCCCAATGTAATAACGACAAATTCAGATTTACTATGATGTGAACACAATTAGTCAGCTACCTACGCTAAGCAAAATAGTTCCAAAACTTCGCAGTAACTCCAAAATCATAGTTCCCTATCTATTTTAAAATTGACTGGCCAATTTTGTACTAAATTTAGCAATCGTCTTTTAAAATTGTATGTATATTTTTGCTTAACGCGATTTTAATATTACTACGCCAGCGGTCGATCATAGCCAAAGTACTTGCATAAATATAGTACAAATTACATGTAGTCACAAGTTAATTAAGTGTCATAGAACTCAAAAATTTAGCAAGTAATGGAATACGGATTTCAGATCAGCTAACTTTAAAGCTTATAGGGCCTAATGCTTCATAAGTGTAAATTTAAGAAAAACAATGCATGCGTATGAATACGAACTATTTTCGCCCTTACGTCATTTTACCGCAATCGCCATTGTTTACAAGTTCATCCGTGAAAGATTGAGAAGTTTATATAGAAGTTCCACGTGTTAAAACGAGTTGTAAGTTTTATTTTACAAAAACCTTATCTCCTATTTACCTAAATGTTGTATAACTTTGCTTGTTTTGCATTTATCCATTCATCAGTGGCGAAATCGTCGTCAAATCGTTGGCGATTCTGGTTGCTTACAAAAAATACAAGGACTTAATACCGGATATGACTTTAAATACAACGTTATTCAAGATGACTGATGTTCATTGTTTATATTTCATAACGTTGATATTTAAGTTGCAATCAAAAGCTGTATTTTTTACAAATTTTCTTCACAATCGGCCATTATCGGGTAAAGCTTTTTTGTACTGAATTGACCTTATCAAATTTTAAGTTTAGCAGTTCCTTCCCTTGAAAGTCCTCCCTCAAACCATTTCCTACCCAGACATTTTTGACCCATTTTTTTTTATATATATTTTTTGGAGGTGAGTTATTTACATCTAGCGTATACATATTGTTGATGCTTACCTTACAGCTTTTTTAAATAAAAAATATACAAGTTCAGTAATGATGTCTTATTACATTTTCTCAAAGAATGAACTGGATCCACGGTGCATAATCCATATTTGTACCCTCTTTGCGAAAATCTGCTGAAACGGTACCTATCATTCACTGCTTAAAACAAACCAGCGGTGGATAACAATCATGTAAAATTTCATTGTAATAAGGAAAAGAGCTGAGGTATGACACTTAGAAACCACAGAACACTAGATTGTTTTATTTATGTGCTGATTCATCATGTGCCAGTCTCTCATGTACTGCAACTTCATAATAAGCTAAAAAAAAATCGACATGTCTTGCCTTGTCCATCACCTCGGCTTACAGACACTTCACCCCCCAGACACTTCACCCTAGGCCCTTTTTGCAGACACTTCACCCCTCATTTTAAGAAATTTGAGTAAGGTTATAATTATATTTACACTGGGGATTAGCATTGAAAAACCCTGACATTTGCTTAGTTCTGTGTAACATCTATACGCTACCAGTACAATTTTTTTTTTTGGAAAAATGCGTTTTGACTCAAATTGATACTACATAACTGACAGGTATTCATGCCACATGGTTAATTTAGAATTTTATCCAGGGAGACATGAGAATTATGCATAATATTTATACACATTTAAAGTTAAACCATGCATAATATATTGATTTCTTATTGGAGTGAAAAAAATGAGTACATGTACATAAATAATGTTCGGAAGTATAAAATGAACTAGGTACAAATATTGCTCTGTCAGATTTAGTTATACTTGGTTTTTATCACTTATCAATATGAAATCATCCATTTTATATATGCCAATTTTGGATGGGAATTTTGACAGTAATTTTGGGACTTTAAAAATAAAACATTTGAAAATTTGCTGTCTTTTTTTATTGGGAATGTAAATAGTTTTATAAGGGAAAAATGCTGTTCTATTACAAATAGAATAGATAATAGTTACAAATACTACAAATAATATATCAGGGATTGAAAAACGAAAAACAACAACAACAACAATGCTTAAAAAATATAAATTTCCTACATGTTCTGACTCATTTTTCTTTTTTGAAGACATTTTTTCTTTTTTGAAGACACTGTTTAACTTACTTCTTTCTGGCTAAACATTTGCCAAATATTACGTTGTGACATTTTAAAAAAATTTTTGTGGAACATACTGGAATCGCCGCACGGGCTTTTAGTAAGTTTTTTACAAAATAGAATCAGACAGAATTAAGCGTTGCATTCAACAAATCAACATCAGTTTTGCCCATCAAACACAGGGGAATTATTTTGTGCTCTGTCCTACTAGTAAAACTTGAAAAATGGTTTCAAAAGAATTGAACTGAAATTTGATTAATTTATGCTAGAAATTTCACACGTCCTGCAGGACGGGCATTTTTGGGAGATTAACTTGTCCAGAGTCATTTTTACTTGTATTTATCATTTATGAGCGGACAAGTGGATTTGTCAAGCCTTGATTAACTGCAAGTGATTAACCACATTATTTCCATAAAACTTATACTACATGTAATTACATTGTTTGAGATAATAAATCATTTGACTTACTAGTGAAATAAGTTTAAGACTGCATAATATTGATATAAAAAGTGAATTCAGTTAGTGGGTTCCAAACTACAGGTGGAAACTGTTCTATTTTCTATTCAAGTTTTTTTTTGATGAAACAAAACTTAATCCTGACAACAGTTATATATGCTTAACAGTGTTGTATTTTGATTATTTTAAAATCTGTTGAAAATATTCATATTAAATTCATGAAAAGAAGTTTAAAAAAAGAGAGAAAGAAATGAGATCTGGGCATAATTTTTAAGAAGGTAAAGATACTTCAATGAAAAAGTAAGATAGGTAACAAAAATCAATCAAACGAAAAACTCATTTAAATTTCAAATTGTTCCTGACATGTCTAAGTTGTTCCTGACATGTCAGAACAAAATTAATAATTTTTTTTTTTTGAAATCTGAGCTATGTTCTCTACCGATTGAGCTATGATTCCGACAATTATTACTCACTTTTACAATAATTATTGTTAGTCAATCATATCTGGACATGCAATATTCAACTTACCCATATATATGCCTTTAAAAAGGACTGTTTCGACTATAAATACTTGAAATTATAAAGAAATTGCCCTATTATTCTTTACAGTCTATTGTGTATAGGCTAAATTTAGGAGACACTTGTGAAAATACGCAATGAAAAATGAATAATTACATTGAAAATACAGGAAATGAAAATGAGCATTTTACTTTATCAATATTTCTTAATGTTTCAATGAAGTATGTAATAAATTAAAAGAACTATTGTATTGATTAGGAAAAGTTTTTATTTACGAATACGAATACGAATACGAATTTTATTAAGCATAAAACAAAATACATTGCTTATAGCCAATTTACAATGATACACATGTACAGTGAGAAAAATAGCAGTTAACAATTATACACAAGTTTTCTGAAGAATACAAGTTAATATGGGAACAAATAATACTTGTACTTATCAACAATATAGTTTTTCAGAAAAAATATCAGATTAAGATATACGTTTATGATTTGCCCAATACAAAAATTTAGCTAAGGCACATATAGTTTTCTTTGAGTCTGACGACAAGATACTATCTAATTTTATTCATAGTAGGGCCAATGGCAGTAGTATTTTTTTAAGATATTTTGTTCGAAGATCTCGGTAGTTGGGACACACAAGGAGAAAGTGGTATTCACTCTCTATTTGCTTCATATTGCATGATTTACATAATCGCTGTTCTCTAGGAATGTTTTCGTATCTACCAGTTTCTATAAATAAATTTATGGGAAGAAGTTCGAAATCTAGTTAAAGCAGTTCTATATTTACTTTCTTGGACATAATCTAAATACTTTTCCATTTCAAAAGAATGTTTAAATATACAATATGTTTGTAATCTTGGTGAATTATTGATAGATGCATACCAACTTGTAGAAAGGTGTCAATTAATCTTTGTTTAATAGTATTATATGGTATATCTATATATCAAACTGATTGTCCCAAATATATGAAAAGCCAAGACTTGACAAGGTGTCTTTGATAAAAGAAGCCCAATTTTTTCCGTTATAATTTCGACCAACATCTGTGTCTGACTTAAGAAAGTAAATACGTCTGCTTAACAAGTGATGCATCATTAAGTTTAAGTATTTTTGACCAATATCATTATCATGTTAAGTTTTTCTAGTAATATGTAACGGGTAACGACCAAGCTCACCATAAAGTGCTGACAAGTTAGTTGATTTTTAACACCCTAAGACTCTACGCAAAAATTTAGTATGAATAACTTCTATATCTTTAGCATCGTGCATTCCCCATATCTCCGAATTATAATTTAAAATGGAACCGACTAGAGAATCAAACAATTTACATTTCTGATATGTTGGCAGTTCTATATTTTTAAATACTTTAAACAGGTTATGTAAAGCAAATGAGGCATGTTGAGCTATTCTATTTTGAGTTCTAACCAATTGCCATTTTTAAAGAGGGTAATTCCAAGGTATTTAAATGATTCTACAAGTTCGATTGGTGTGTTGTAAATATAAAAAATGTGCTGTGTATGCCTGCCTTTTTTTCAAAAAATCATTGCTTTTGTTTTAGATGTATTTATTTTCAAAAACCCCATGTATTACAATAAGTTTCAATATCCGTTAGCATTGCCTGTAGAGATTCAGGGGATTTAGCAAAAAGTACTTGGTCGTCTGCAAAATAAAATGAGAAAAAAGCTTAAGTTTCGTTAATTGTAAAAAATACCTTCTAAATCAGTGTTAATATTGTCTATAAGGTCATTTACGAAGAACATGAAGATCAGAGGTGAGCTTGGATCTCCCTGTTTCAAGCCTATATGAGAATTGAAAAAATCTGAATATGTAGAATTATACCTTACACATGATTTTACAGTAGTGTACATTGATTTTCATTGCTTTAACAAATCGCGTGCTAATATTTTCTGCAATAAGCTTTTTGCCACAAAAACGATCTATCTATTTTATCAAAACATTTTTCGTAATCAACAAAAATACAATATAACTTATTACCCGAATTTAGAACATTTGATATAACTGCATGAAAAATAAAAATACAATCAGACACTGATTTTCCTTTTTGGAAACCAAATTGTTCACTACAAATTTTATCATGTTTTTATTGACCACTTACTAAGTCTATTTAACAATATCTGGGAATAAATTTTCGCAAGAATATTAATAAGTGTAATCCCTCTGTAATTTTTAGCATCATTAACATCTCCTTTTTTGAAAACAGGCGTAATGATACCCTCCCCCCAAAACTTTAGGATATTCACTATTAATAAACAATCTATTGTAGAGTTTAAGCAACAATGGAGACATGATATCGTAGGCTGCTTTAAAAATTTCACATATTAATTTATCATAGCCTGGTGATTTATTATTATTTTGAAAAATATAGCTTCCCGTAACTCGCACTCATTAATTGCTGCGTCTAGATCTTCATCAATTAAGTTATCATTAAATAAAAAGTTTTTGATTTTTCATTTTTGGCTTTCCTCGCCGAATAGTGCCTTAAAATGGTCATATAGTTGTTCAACATTTAATGTATCAGTCTTTTTTTTATCATCTTTATAAGTATTTTTTATGTTTTGCCAAAATTTTCCGGGGTTGAGATTTAGCTAAGTTATTTATTCTTAAGCCTTCTTTTATTTTGAACTTATGTCTTGCAGATCGTTTAATTTTATTATAACGCGTTCGCGTATGTATAAAATGGAGGCGATTATCAACTGTATTGTGCCTATTAAAAACATTACGTGCTTTCTTAAATTCCTTTTTTGCCTCGAAGCAATCCTTATCAAACCATTTTTTTGCTTAATTTTCCACGTTTATGATTTAAAATTCGCTTTGTTCCGAACACATCGAATGCATTGTCAGATATGAATTGTGAAATATTTTGTACCACGTGGTCTATTGGTTGATCTATGACCTCTTGAGTAAGTTTTAAAATATCGTCACTTCTATCTAAAAGTTGTGATCTAAACAGGGGTATTTTTTCTTCGTCCCACGAAATCTTATCCTCGCTGGATGAATACCCGATTCTGCTATTCGAGATGTACATTCTTTCTTTTTTACAAAAGAAAATGAGAGAGGAGAATGGTCAGAGAATTCGTTAAAATCTTCAATTTTAAAATGTTGTAATAATTGAAAATCAGTAAAATTCAATAGCAAGTAATCAACGGTACTTAAACCTCTACCTGAACAAAATGTAAAGTTACCCCTGTTTACTGTCGCTTAGCAGACGGCCGTTTGCTATTAATAGACCAGTTGTTTGACAGGTATCGAGTAAACGCCTACCATAACTATCAATCACGTGATCTTTGTTTACGCGCGTTGTGATATCACGTGTGTTTACAAATGTCAAATTATGATCCAAATATTTATCAAATTCTATGAAATCAGGTTTGTCTGATGTTCTACTATTTTAGATCACCACAGACAAAGACTTTACCTAGATCGCTATATTTCAAGATGTCTATTTCTAATTGTTCGAAAAAATCAAAGTTTACATACATTGATACTTTTGAGTCAACAGGCGGTATATAAACATGACATATATAAACATCGTCTTCAAAGTTAAACAAACCAGCGCTTATCTTAACCCAAATAATTCCATGATTATTTTTTTCTATTACTTTAACAAATTTCTTGATATTTGATTTATAATAAAATGAAATACCTCCGCTAAATCTCCCTTTTTTAGTGTTTGAGGACTTATTACCAAAGATATGTTCTACACAATAATCATTTATATTTAAATTTGAAGTGTCATTCATTGATATCCATGTTTCATTAAGAAAAATAATGTCATATCCAGATATATATTCCAAAAAGTCACAATCTATTAATTTACGCTTTAATCCGTTAATGTTCCATGATATGATGGTTAAATGTTCTTCTTCTTGACCTTTCTAATGTTGAGAACTCACTTCCGGAATATATTCTTCTCCATCTATGAACAACTTCTCACCAACAAATCTAACGTGTTTTCCAGCACCTTTCGCTTTCTTCATTGCAGGATAAAGTGGTTTTCTGGCTTCTCGCAGCTGTTTTGGTAGTTGTGCGCCAATCCCCAATTTTACCGAATTAAGATCTCCAGCATATTCAAACGATCTTGCTCTTATCTTATCCTTTTCTTTAGGGTAGTGAAATTTGGCAACAATTGGTCTGGTGGATTTTGATGACGTCATTCTGCCCATCCGATACGCTCTATCGATTGTAATTCCTTCTACTTCTTCCGGGTCCATTTTCAATTTGTCTGTCATTATTGATTTTACTAGATTTACACAATTTTCATCACTTCCTCCTTCTTTAATGCCATAGAACATAAGATTGTCCCTCATTTGATTCATTTCTTTTTCAACTAGTTTTGTGTTAAGGTTTTCCTTCTGTGATTTCAATTCAAGTGTCTCATTTTCTAAGAATTGGCATGATTTTTTCATTTGCTTTATTTCTGAGTTGTTTTTTTTTTTAAATTCTGCAGTATTTTTCTCGCTCATATCTGCTGTAAATTCACAAAGTTTTTCAGTTTCTGTGACACGCAAATCCAAATTGTTGATTTTTGATTCCATAGCTGTTATTTTAGAGTTTATAGTACTCACAGTGTCACCAACTGACTGTAGCTTTTGCTTAATTTGTTTGACCTCGTCTAGGAGTTCAGACGCCCAAGATGGTTGGGTAGGGATGTTGAAAGCTCCGCCATTAAATTGTGAGTGGGTGGGGCTTGTCATGTATGGAGCCATGGCGAACGGTGGTTGTGGTGGGAATGCCATTGTCAAATATGTATTAGAATAGTTTTCGTAGCTTTCTAAGTCACTTACACATTGCACATCCCGCTGTCTATGTTTCTTTGTTGACTGACTTGTTTTTGTCTCTACACACGTATTACTTCCATGTACATTATTGCACGAAACACTCGTGTAGTCCGATAACAAAGGCGAGGTAGCTGGACGTTTATTTTTCCTTGTTTTTGTCGATGTTGAGTTATTAACCGGTGTTTTATTATTATCCGACATTAGCTAGGTATATCAAGAAGTACATTCAACTATTTAGTAATCCAAAAAGTCCTTTATAACTTGTAAATTTGATTTTTTTCACAGAGCGGTAAAATTTTACATCTCACTGTACACTTGTCACGTGATCTATTTCAGGTTTGTGAATAAAGGCTTGTTTGTTAGATTTCAATTGTGGCTCAGTTGGTTGTTTGCTGAGAAGCTGTGAAACATAATTATACAGGCCATTAAGGTAAAAACATGTTAGCTTTTTTCTGACTTTGATATATATATCCATCTTACTGTAGCATAACAAAAGAGAACAATAGAATTCATTCCATAACAATAGAATATGGGGCCATGGCCCATGGCCCTTTAATAAACAAAAGGAAAAACAATAGTAATGGTCCTTAATCCCTTTTCGGTCACACGGGCAAACATTTTCTTCAAGTAAGACCATACAATATATATGTTAGAAAGTTAAAAAGGAAATGTTCATTGTTATATATATATTTGGTTTGAAAATCTTTGTATATTTACAATTTTGACCAAATAGTTTCTCAAAGTATTTATTTGACATTAACTGACATAATTAGTGGCATATGTTTCTAACTTCTTTTCCAGGAGGTTTTTGTCAGATTGATGAATGTGAAATTAAGAGGACCCATTTTGAGGATGCTTTTTATGAATGGAATCACGAGAGATGAAGTCTAAAATGTGATACTGTCAATGTGACTAACCTTGAAGTAAACAGATGACACAATGTTTTTTCAATGTCATGGGCATATAATGAAGAGGTACATGATTATTTGTATACACTTTTCCTTAATAAATACTTTCTAAATGTTTGACATGTTTAAAGGCCAACACAGGGCTCAAAGTTTATTTAAAATCTGTAAGCTTGGCACTTAGAGCCAATTGTATATTAATTATTTCAATATCTTTTCATTATGCAATCTGTTGTTAATTTAGGAACAAAAGTCGATAGCAAAAACATTTTAGCCGTGTCATGACGAAACCAACATAATGGGCATCCGCCCAGTCTGATCAGGATCCATACTGTTCGCTATCAGTTTCTCTACTTGTAATAAGGTTTGTAAGCGAACAGCATGGATCCTGATCAGACCAACCTGGTCTGGATCCATGCTGGTCGCAAACCCATTATGTTGGTTTTGTCATGACATGGCTCATTTTGTGACATGTAATTCACTTAAATTGTATTTTGAAATTTCAAGTTTTCATTCCTTTCACCTCAAGGCATTTGACATTGAAATAGTGACTTCATGTAGTAAGCAGTCAGTAAAACCTAATCATCTCATCTTGACTTAGCTGTATATAGATTATCAGAATCACTCACATTTACAAATTTATATGACTTTAAAAAGTTGTGTTACTAAGCAAATAAATAGATTTAATTGGGGTGACCATAGTCAAAGTAATGCACCTAAACCACTTACCTTTAAAGATATACTATGCTCATCAGTAAAATATTTTAATCATGAAAATGTATTGAATTCTATGCAATTCTTTTTGAATATGTCTAATTTGAATGAATTAACTATGCATTGGAAGCCATGTTCCTTCTTACGAGACAAAAAAAAATTTGGTCCTTCTTAAAAAAACTGTCAGTTTCCTAACAACACTATATATTTATATTGTGACCAACTATAGCATGTGATGTTTTAACATTACATAGCTACTTTATGTAAACACAAAACATGCTTATTTTATGTTTACAAAGAGACTGTGTAGCAATTATCAATGTTCTATATATTTAATATGGATTCTTTAATGTGAGAAAGCAATCCAGCTAGCTTTAAAAAAAGGCGGTGGTTCTACTCAGATGCTCGTTTGTGAAATCTGATCAGAGGGGTTGAGCTCTGGCATTGGTCGCGCATTTTTTGGTTTTATACCTTTATAAATCAGAGTAATTCTAACAGAAAGATGCTGAAAAAAAGTTAACATACAAGTATGGAATATCTCGGGTCAGCAATAAACTTTTTCAAAACTCTATTTTCAGAAAACAGAGATGCTTGTTTGACAGATACAGTAATAGTAGGAGTTATGAGGGAAGATAGAATGCAGTGATAACTATATTGAGGCACCACTTCATCACCAAGAACATGAAATGAATTATCAATGTTTTCAATGTGTTTGAACACCCATTTTAAATAATACAGCTCAGAGTGAATTTTTCAAAATAATTAATTCTGTTTCAAAGTTTTTTTATTTAGATGTTAGTTGATCTTGTCAAGTACTTAATTTTTTTAGGGATGGCAACAATTACTAAAATCAATACTACTCGAGTACTCGGTCATTTAGAGTATTCGGTTACTGGGATGATTTCCAATGATCTTTAAATCTTTATCACACAATATCAACACCGTCTGCATGCTACCTTCATTTCTATTTTAATTCATAGAATTTGTAGCTATAAATAGGATTGCAAGAAATACATATAATAAATATAAGCATAAGAAATGTCAATGACAGCATTTATTATATACCTATAAATTTTCTTCCTAAAACACAGGATTATCTTGAAGCGCAAATAGTTTTCAACGGTTAGAAAATTCTGTATTATGTTAGAGACAAATACAGTACCATATATGAAAGGCCTGGACTATTTTTATGCTCCCCAAAAAATTTCGGGTGAGCATATAGTCGCCGCCTTGTCCGTCAGTCCGTCCATCCCCTTTTCTTGTCCGGGACTTAACTTTGAAACAACAACAGGTATTAACATGAAACTTTGTAGGTAGATAGATCTCATTGAGTAGGTGTGCAGTGCACAAGAACCTTAACTCTGCCTTGCTTAATTTTTGAATTATTCCCCTTTGTTTATTTTACACTTTGAACTTTGTCCGGGACATAACTCTAAAACTATAAGAGGTATCAACATGAAACTTTGTAGGTAGATAGATCTAATTGAGTAGGTGTGCAGTGCACAAGAACCGTAACTCTGCCTTGTCTAATTTTTGAATTATTCCCCTTTGTTTATTTTTACACTTTGAACTTTGTCCGGGACATAACTCTAAAACTATAAGAGGTAACAACATGAAACTTTGTAGGTAGATAGATCTAATTGAGTAGGTGTGCAGTGCACAAGAACCGTAACTCTGCCTTGCTTAATTTTTGAATTATTCCCCTTTGTTTATTTTACACTTTGAACTTTGTCCGGGACATAACTCTAAAAGTATAAGAGGTATCAACATGAAACTTTGTAGGTAGATAGATCTCATTGACTTGGTATGCAGTGTACAAGAACCGTAACTCTGCCTTGCCTTATTTTTGAATAATCCCCCTTTGTTTATTTTACACTTTGAAATTTGTCCGGGACATAACCTTTAAACTATAAGAGGTATCAACATGAAACTTTGTAGGTAGATAGATCTCATTGACTTGGTATGCAGTGCACAAGAACCGTAACTCTGCCTTGCCTAATTTTTGAATTATCCCCCTTTCTTTATTTTACACTTTGTACTTTGTCTCTGAAACTATAACAGGTATCAACATGAAACTTTGTAGGTAGATAGATTTCATTGAGTTGGTAAGCAGTGCACAAGAACCTTAACTCTCCCTTGCCTAATTTTTGAATTATCCCCCTTTGTTTATTTTTACACTTTGAACTTTGTCCGAGACATAACTCTCAATGTAAAAGAGATATCAACATGAAACTTTGTAGGTAGATAGATATCGTTGAGTAAGTTTGCAGTGCACAAGAACTGTAACACTGTCTTGCCTACTTTTGGAGTTATTGCCCTTTGATCATTTTGACACTTTGAACTTTGTCCGGGACATTACTCTAAGCAGTGCTTAAGAATTATTACTCTGCCTTGCCTTATTTTGAAGTAATTGCCCTTTGTTTATTTTTACTTTTTGACTTTTGTACGAGACATAACTTTAAAACGTTTAGAGATATCAACATGAAACTTTGTAGGTAGCTAGATATAATTGGATAGAACTGCAATGCTTAAAGAACCTAAAGAAAGCCTGGTCTAATTTTGGAGTTATTACCCTAATTTCATTTTTACACTTTGAATTTTACCTTGGACATAACTCTGATATCATCAGGCAACTTTATAGATTGATAGATCTAATTGAATAGAAGTGCAGTGCAAAAAAAAACATAACATGCTTTGCCTAATTTTGGGGTTTTTGCCCTTTGTTCATTTTTTTTATACTTTCCAGTGTCCAGAACCTTCTCGGGGAGCATTACCCGGTTCAACTAGTTCTTGTTAATGTTGGTTCTGATCTTAGCTGTGAATAACATAGTATATGGAAACGGCAACCAAAATAATAAAAGGTGTGGCTGGTTTTGCACAAATTACGTATTCATCTGTCAGTCATAATTTATTTCTTGACAGCTACATTTCTTTTTCTGAAATTTCTTATATAAGTGTAGTATAATGAAAATCATTTATACTTCAAACGAAAAGGTACATTATTAAAGGAAAATTATGTTGTAGTAGCTTTCTGAGGCTATGCATTTTTCTACTTGCAATGTTGGAAAATTGTTATCTAGCTCGCCCTTTAGTCTCGCAAGATATCAATTTCCCACCGCTGCTCATAGCAAAATAAAAAGCCTCAGAGAGCTACTACAACATAATATTCTGTATATATATTTTTTTATAATTAACAAGTTTGGGCTATCCTTGAACTTTTTTTTTATTTAATCAAGTTTGATTTTTTTTAAATATATTTATATGAATGCATGCAGCTTTGAAATAGATTTTACTTATGTATATTTGGCAGCAATTTCACATGTAGCTCTTCGAAAAAAAATCACTTGAGCAAAAAAAATTTTATAGGCATAAAGTGATACCCGTTCTGTCATCATCAGTTTTTGGTTTTTAGCTCACCTGAGCTTGCTCAGGGTGAGCTTTAAGGATCGGTGAATGTCCGTCGTCCGTCCACAATTGCTTGTGAACACTCTAGCGGTCGCATTTTTGCCTCAATCATCATCAAACTTGGTCAGGATGCTTATCTAGTTGAAAGCATGGATGAGTTCGAACATGAGTCATCTCGGA